GATCCCTGGGAACTGAGGAGTTCTATGCCCAGAGCTGGGAGCTGAGCAGTAAGCACAAACTGTGTTTCCTTTTTCTTTTCTTTTTTATTTAGAGAGTGTGTGGCAGTGTGCATGCATGCGGGGGGTGGGGAGGTGGCGCACGGGCAGAGGGAGAGAGAAAGAATCTTAAGCAGGTTCCACACCCAGCATGGAGCCCATGTCAGGGCTCGATCTCACAATCCTGAGATCATGGCCTGAGCTGAAACCAAGAGTCAGAATCTTAACTGACTGAGCCATCAGGCACCCCTTGAGCCGTGTTTTCTAAGAAGAGCCCAAGCTTTTCCCACTGGGGAAAGGACTGGGCGTGAGATGCCATGGGGAGAGGCGGGGGCTGGCTGAATGGCCCCCAGTGGGTTCTCTCCATCAGGACTGGCCTGGACCCAGAAAAGTGCCAGACAGGCACAGGCCCTGGGAGCAGGCCCTCCTGTGGTTTATCTAGGCGCCTGGGAGGGACCACAGGGCTGCGAGAGCCCCAGAAAGCACTGCCTGGGCCGAGCTGCGGTGGGGAGGAGTGAGACCTGGCAAGGCTACCCTGGCTACACAAACAGTGAAGGTGGGGGCATCCAGGCAGAGGACAGATGGACCGTCCTACCAAACGCTTCAGATAAACCACAGTCCCCAGGGCGACTCCTCAGCCAGGCCAGCATCCCCCTGCAACCCCATAGGTGGGGAGGGCCCAGTCAGAACCCCATCTCCGTTCGCCTCTTCTGCACTTAAAGCAGGTGCGACATCTGATATATTAATCAGCAAAGAGGGGATGCCTGCCTCGGGCTTAACAATAATCCCAAACATGGCACAGGGCTGCACTCAGGTCCCCTCCACCCATAGCCACAGGGACCCCAAAGCACAGGACATACCAGAGGTCATGGGGCTGGAGCCAGGTCAGTGCCTTCACCCACAGAGCTAAGGGCTGTGCTGGCAGCTCCACCCCAATACCCGTTCACATGACAGAGGGTTTGGCAAAGGCAGGCAGCAGGGTTGGGTGGGGCCCAAGGCCCTTAGCCTTGCTCCCTGGTGACAGTCTCAGTCTCATGACTCAAAGGCCACACTGGACTGGGAGGGGGAAGCGGCGGCTTGGCCTCTGACCTCTGTGACCTACTCCCAGGCCCCCAGCATAGCCCCACGTGGAGCTGCCTCCTGGGTTGTCTGTTCTTTTTTTTTTTTTTTTTTAAGATTTTAAAATTTACTTGAGAGAGAGAGCGTACACACACATGCGCACTCGAGTGAGGGGAGGGGCAGAGGGAGAAAAGCCAACTCTCTGCTGAGCACAGAGCCCAATGCATCTCACAACTCTGAGATCACGACCCTAAGCCGAAATCAAGAGACACTCAGCCGACTGGGCCACCCAGATACCCGGGGTTCCCTCTTCTATCGCTTTCTACCCCTACCCCACTCTTAGGAGCTGAGCAGATAAGAGCATGGGCTCTGGAGTCCACCGCCTAAGTATGAATCTTGGCCCTGCCATGTTCTGGCTGTGTGACCTCAGGCAAGTCACTTGACCTCTCTGTGTGCCTCAAGGAACTCATCTGTAAGATGAAGATCTTAAGTCTACCCACTTAGGGTTGTCAGGAGGGCTCACTGGTCAGCTAGAAGCCTAGGATACAGTTGTGATCCTCTGTTGTGATCCTCTACCTCAGCTGCCAGGGGGAGCTTCCAACATATAACCCAAGCATAGCACTGCCCTGCCCCCATGCCCTCAAAACTCCCCACTGCCTCTGGACCCAGTCCATCTACCCCTCCAGTAGTTTGAGGCCTGCCTGGCCCACCTCACAACCGTCTTTCCTCTTAGGGGACCTGGAAACCTTCGGGCCCTGCCCGTCCCACCCCCAACTCACTTCTCTCTAGACCTTGAATCAGCCTCACTCCAAAGGCAGGGTAAAAGTCTCAAAATTAGGCCTATCCTCTGAGCATCAAATTCCCCTCCCAGAGCTTCCACCTATGAAACTAACAGAGGATCCATCCAAGCAAAGACTGGCCTGGGGTGTCTACTGCAGTGCAGTTTATAAGAACAAAACAACATGGATGTCCATCTGTGAGCAAACCAGGGAACTTGATTGTTGTCTGGCTGTTGACATGGAACAAAGCAGGTTACAATCTGTTGTGAGCCAATGGACCCTATTCTAAATTATAAAAGTATAGATTAGCGGTTGCCTGGGACTGAGTGTGGACCAGAGAGTGGTTGTGAACAGGCAAGAGGGATCTTACTGTGGTGATGAAAATGCTCTAGAACTAACTGGTGATGGTCACACAACTTAGTCAACGTAAAAACTTACTGTACACTTAAACTGGATCAATCTTTTTTTTTTTTTTTAATTTTTATTTATTTCTGATAGTCACAGAGAGAGAGAGAGGCAGAGACATAGGCAGAGGGAGAAGCAGGCTCCATGCACCAGGAGCCCGACGTGGGATTCGATCCTGGGCCTCCAGGATCGCGCCCTGGGCCAAAGGCAGGCGCCAAACCGCTGCGCCACCCAGAGATCCCAAACTGGATCAATCTTATAGCAGGTAAATGATACCTTGAAGGTGTTGTTTTTTAAAAGGTGGATCATGAGTGTATAGTCATTACACACACACACACACACACACACACACACACACCAGGAAACAATCCAATCCCGCACATAATTAACAGAGCTTATCTCTGCATGACCGGTTTAAGGAAGATTTTATTTTCTCTTTTTGCTCACTTGAACTTTCTAATTTTTTTACAATGCAAAGAGATTTGTTGTGTAATTGGGAGGAAAAAAGAAAGTTTGGATAAAAACCAAGAAACACCCTGCCGTGGTAGGCAAACTTCATGGCCACCCCAGCAAGAGGCTGCAGTTGTCTGCCGTCTCTCCCAGATTAGAGCTGGTGCCTAGGGGCACCTGGGTGGCTCAGTGGTTGAGCGTCTGCCTTCAGTTCAGGTCGTGATCCCAGGGTCCTGGGATGGAGTTCCGCATCAGGCTCCCTGCAAGGAGCCTGCCTCTGCCTCTCCCTCTGCCTATGTCTCTGCTTCTCACTCTGTGTCTCTCATGAATAAATTAAAAAAAAAATTCTTTAGAGCTGGTGCTTAATTGCCCCCAACCCCAAACAACCCCTTGGGCCTCAGGACATAATGCTTCTGCAAATGAGTCCGTGAGAAAAGTCTATGCCAGACCTGTGGCCCTGATACACCTGCCCTGATTCTACTGCCCCAACTCCCCTAGGAAGGGAAGCATTCATATCCCGAGTGGGAAACAGGCTCAGAGATTCAGAGAGCTTGGGCAGGATGGCAAAGTAAGTGAGTAGTGTCCAGATTCAAGTCCCGACCCCAAAGCCCAGGAACTCACCACCTGGTCATGTGCCTTTCAAGCTGTACCCACTGGGTCCAGGGCTTTTGGAATTGTTGGTTGAGTTAGGCTTGGATTTCTCCAGGGCCTGGGATTTGGGGTTCATCACTCCAGGGCAGGGCCAAGAGGAAGGCTGCTTTGGGAAAGCCCCACAATTTAAGTCTCTCCTCCCACACCCTCCCCTTGCCTGGTCCTCGGGGAAGGCAAGCTGATAAGGCCCCAGGCTGGCAGCCAGCTGGGCTCATATGCACCGCCTCGGTAGGGCAGGAGTGAGTGAGTTAGAAGTGTCTGTTTGTTAACCCCAGGTGGCCACAAGCTCCATGGACACTACTGTCCAGGTAGTCGGAGGTCTGTGTCCTGTGCTCTTGGCTTCAAGTTCCCCATCGACCAAGTGACACTTGGCCAGTGATGCCGAAACTGCAGAGCAACCATGGAGGGCCATTTGCTGGGGGCTGTGGTTTGTCCTCTCTACACAATGGGGCAACAGCCTCCCAACTGGGACCTGCCGCACCATTCTCAAACCCCTTCTCTGTCTAGCAAACAAGATACTTTTGAAGGGGTGAGTACACCGGCTCTGCTCAGCAGCTCCACCACAGCTCTGCCCTCTGGCGCAGAGGATCCTCTTTTTTGCCAACTGTCCCAACCTCCCCTCCTGTGCCTTCCTCTTAACTCCTCAAATTCGGGGCCTTGGCCCGTGCTGAGCCCTCGGCGGACTGGGAAAACATCCTTCCCAGGGGGTCCTGACCTGACCTTCAAGTCTCAGCTCAAACGTCTGCTCAAAGAGATCTCCCCCAGGGACCCCTGGGTGGCTCAGGAGTTTAATGCCTGCCTTCAGCCCAGGGCATGATCCTGGAGTCCTGGGATCGAGTTCCACATCGGGCTCCCTCCATGGAGCCTGCTTCTCCCTCTGCCTGTGTGTCTGCCTCTCTCTGTGTCTCTCATGAATAAATAAATAAAATCTTAAAAAAAAAAAAAAAAGAGGTCTCCCCCACCCCTGCACCACCACCGGGCAACTAAATATCCGTTTGCGAGTTTTCTTGAGAATTTCCGTGCTCCCAAGAAAAGGAGGAGCCCAGGTCGACCTGTGAACCCCCGATGCCTAGTACACGGCCTGGTATTCAGTAGATGCTCACTAAACGTTTGCGCCGGGACCGGGAGCACTCGCCGGGGGCGAAAAGGAGCGGGAGGAGGGGCCAGGGGAAGCGCTGCGCGCATGCGCGTGAGCTCCGCGCCGAGCTGAACTCTTCGCCGGAGGGAATGACCGTGAGTAACCCCGCGCTTACGTCAGGGCCGGGGCGGGGGCGGGGCCTCGGAACCGCCCAGGTCTCCGGGGCTCGCGGCGGCCGCCCCTGGACCGAGGACTCCCTGGCCGCGCCGCGCGGGGCCCCGGACGCCCAGAGGCGCACGTGCCCGGCCCGGAGCCTCCAAGAGACCCGGCGAGGCGCGGCCCGAGAGGCCGGGGGGGGAGGCGCGGGGGGGGGTCGGCGCGGTCTGCACAACGGGGCCCACGGCGCGCAGCCCAGAGGCACGGGGAAGCCCCGCGCACAAGCACAGAGCCGGGACCGGTGCCCGACCCCGCGCCCCGGGAGACAAAGCCCCACGCCGCCGGCGCGCCACGCTCGCGCGGAGCCCAGCCGGCCCTTGACGTACCTTCGATGTCGGTCAGCAGCGCCGCGTCCAGCTCGCACGGCTCGGCCAGCGCCTGCTCCAGGGCCGCGTCGCTGAAGGGCGGCTCGTCCATGGCGCAGTCGCCTCCTCCGGGCCGCCCGCCGGGCCCGCCGCCGCCGCGTACGGACTTTCGCAGGGAGCGCCGCGTCCCCCGGCCCCGGCCCGCTGCCGCCGCTGCGCGCGTCCGCGTCCCCGCCCGGCCCCGGTGGCCTCCCGGCGCCCGCGAAAAGTTCCTCGGAAACTGGGTTCCCCCGCTGTGGCTCTGCAGGGAGGGCGGGGCGGGGGCGGGGGCGGGGCCCTGCCGATAGGCCCCGCCCCCGGGGTAGACGGGCCCCACCCCACCTGGAGATTGCTGGGACCCGGCTCCGGGGTCGGGCTCGCAGACCTACCCGCAACCGGCCCCTCCGCCTCGCAGACCTACCCGCAACCGGCCCCTCCGCCTCGCAGACCTACCCGCAACCGGCCCCTCCGCCAGTGCGCCCTCCAATCATTCCTTTTATCCGACCCCTGGCACAGCCGCGTCTGGCCCACTGCAGCGGGGGCGCGCGGGCAGGCCTTGAGCCTTCTCTGGGCCTCAGTTTCTCCCAACACCAAGCAAGGGGGCTGGGTGAAGCTCCGGGACAGGGCCTGTCCAGGAGCTGGAGGGGGCTGGGGCCTGGACAAACCTCACTTCCTAGATTGCTCTTTAGAACAAGACAGATCTGTTGGAGTGATAGCTCTGATGACCTGCTGTGGGCTGTCGGGCCAACTCTTGTCCTCAATTGCATCAGCTCTACCTGGAGCTTGGTGATGCTTCTCCATAGGCTGCTTGGGAGATTAGTGATGGGGGGGGGGGTTGGCGCTGGGCCTGTGAGATCAGCCAGCTGCCCCCACCCGCCCGGCCCCAGTTTCCTAAGATCAGATTGGTCTCTAGATAAGGGGGTAGCCCAAAGGGAGCCTGGAAGAGGCGAATCTCCCTTCCTGATTTAATCTCGTTTCCTTCCAGATCCAGCTGTGGTAACAAGGGGGGGTTTGGAAGCCAGTGGACCGAGTCCAGTCCCCGGAAGTAGGCTGGCCTCAGTACCCAAGAAGACAGGAAGATCTAGAGAGTTCTAATTGCACACAGATACTCAGGGACAGCCACAGGCTTGGGCCCCAGGGCTGACTTCCAACTCAGCGCTTATCCCTGGGATCAGCCTAGATGGGGGACACAAGGAAGAGGTGGGCTGTGCTTTACGCTTGAACCAGGCTGCCCTGGATCACGACAGGCTGGGTGTGGGTCAGAGGAGGCAGCTTGGCTGGGAAACTGGCTGGAGACTGAACGAACCCTGGGCCCTGTGGACTGAGGACAGAGCTAGGTGGCACGGGGGGGGGGGGGGGTGTCCCACTGAGGTGGCTAGAGATCAACTAGAACATGTGAGTATCTGAAACTGGAAAGGGAGTGAGTTCCTTGTCCCTGGAACTATGCAAGCAGAGAAAGATACTCCTGGTGCAGGACAGACAAGGAGATCCATCACAAGTGGGACCCCCAGTCTCTCCTAGCCCCTGGCATCAGTAAGTCATGCCATCCTAAATACTGTCTTGCCCAGACTCCAGATATAGCCTGTCTGGCCACTCCTTCTGAGGGAGTAAAATTAGTGGTGCACTTTAGAAGGGGGGTGCCCTGGCTGGAAGAGGACTTGAGGCCCAAGTCCCAAGGGATCAGCCCATATATGCAGCTCTCTTTGTTCCCCTCCTAGAAGTGGCTGCTGTGGAAAATTACTCAGAGCAGGGGTGGCCAGGAGCTGTGGGGGTCTCCAAACCACATCTCCCCCACCACCCAAGTGGCCCTGCTCTGGGATCCACTCAGGGATCCAGAAGAACTTCTCTGGGGGAGCACAGAGGGATCTGGCTTCTTTCATCCTGTCCCCCACCCCGGACCCTACCTACCACACAAGCAGGAGCCAAGCACCCAGGAGGCCTTGAGAATCTGGTGACTTCCCTAAAAATCCTAACCTCCCTTCCCAGAGAGAGGATTGGGGAGAGGAGCGGGTGCTGAGGAAAGCCTCTAAAGACCACTTTTTCCAAAGTCAGAAAGTTGGTCTGGTTTTTCACCTGCCTGCTTTGTGACCTGGAACCCATTCACTTCACTTTTCTGAGTCTCAGCTACCGGATTGTAAAAGGAGAATAAACCTTCCTGCAGTCACTCTGCAGAGGCAGGTGAGGTGTGTTGGAGTCATCATCACAACAGACCTGCCTCACTATTCTTTCAGTGAGTTCACCATATATGTAAAGAGCATGATTCAACAAATATGCATGCCATAAACTGCAGGAGTGAGGGGAAAGAGAGTAAGGCAAGGTCAACAGACTTGCAGCCCACACTAGAAATGCCAATTAAAACTGAAGACTGGGGGATCCCTGGGTGGCGCAGTGGCTTGGCGCCTGCCTTTGGCCCAGGGCGCGATCCTGGAGACCCGGGATCAAATCCCATGTCAGGCTCCCGGTGCATGGAGCCTGCTTCTCCCTCTGCCTATGTCTCTGCCTCTCTCTCTCTCTCTCTCTCTCTCTCTCTGTGTGTGTGTGTGTGTGTGACTATCATAAGTAAAAAAAAAAAACAAAAACAACAAAACAAAACAAAACTGAAGACTGGGCAGCCCAGGTGGCTCAGAGGTTTAGCGCCGGCTTTAGCCCAGGGTGTGATCCTGGAGACCCGGGATCTGGGATCGAGTCCCATGTCTGGCTCCCTGCATGGGGCCGGCTTCTCCCTTTGCCTGTGTCTCTGCCTCTCTCTGTCTCTCTCTGTGACTATCATAAATAAATAAAAATTAAAACAAACAAACAAACAAAGAAACCTGAAGCCTGGCGGAAGCCCCACGGTGGGGCATAGTTGGGGTGAGGTGAGGTGTGTCTTAAATCTTTGCAATCAAAGAGACACAACTTTGTTTCTTTCACAGCCGCAGATTATCAGGGCAATTCTCTCTCTCTTTTTTTTTTTTTAACCAGGGCAATTCTCAACATCAGAGTGGGGAAGGACGGGTTGGGGCGACAGTTCTTCAGGGAAACCTCTTGGTGGCTCCTCCCCCTAAAGAGCCTGAGACCCCCAAACAAGCCCCCCAGGCCCCTCTTGGCTGGGATGATCCGAACTCACAGGAGTGTGCCAGGGCCCGGTGGTGGGCCCCTCTGCCCTGGAGTGCCCAGGAGGGGGCAGGGGCCCCAGCCCGGCCAACAGTGATGCTGGCAGGCTGTGCCTGCCCTGGCAACCATCTTTGAGCGCTTACCAGAATTAACCCAAGTATTCCTCCCAACAGTCCCAGGAGGACCGGGCTGCTATTCCCATTTTACAGATGAGAATACCGAGGCACGGGGAGGCAAGGCGACTTGCCCACGACCTCACGGCGCTGTTGCCCCTGATTTCGTCAGGGTCTGGGCGGCCGGAGGAGAGGCGCTGGCTCCTCACCCGGGCCGGGCAGCGGCGGAGACCCAGGGGAGTTGGGGCGAGGAGCCAGACAAGTCCCGCCCCCGCGGACCGCGGCGCAGCCAATGGGCGCCCGGCCCCGAGTGGGGTGACGCGGCGTCAGCGCGAAACTCCCGGGAGCCGGGCCTTGGGTCACATGCGCCGCGCCCGTTCGCCCTGGGGGGCGGGGTGGGGGCGGGCCCGCGCTGCGGGCTGGCAGGGCCTCGGACCCGGGACCAGTCGGGCATGCTCTTTTCAGCCGGGCCTCCGGGACAGACACCTGGCTGGGAGCGCCGCCAGGTGGGCGTCCAGGCACGGGGGCGGGGCTGACCTGGGACGGCCCCGCCCCCTGCCCGCGGACCCCGGAGCCCTCTGCTCCTGCGACTGTGAGGCACGCCCACTTCCCAGAGGCGGGACTCGACCCAGGTCACCGGACTGGGACATAGGGGTACACGTCTCCCCCCTTGTTTCCCAGACGTCAGGCATCTGTGGGTTCCGAGACATTTTGGGCAGGTGTCCAGCCCACAGGCGGGCTGGGCCTCTGCGGAGGCTTCTCATCTTGGCGTTGCTCAGGGGTGGGTAGAGGGAAAGGCATAGGGGTTGCCAGGGCTGTTGGCACGAGGCAAGGAGACTGGGCATAGCCAGTCTGGGCATTGCCTAGGAGAATACTGAGACCCCTCCTCATTCCAGGAGTCCCCCTCAATCCTGCCCGCCCCCATTTATCCTTCATTCTTGCAGTAGGTAAGCGAGGACCTGCCCAGGCTATGGCCCAGGAGGCCACACGGCATGGAGCCAGGCCGGAGCCTCACTTCCAACCTCTCTGGGCATAATGGAACCAGATCGCTGTTGACATGGATGATTCTGGTCCTAGATGACCCTGTATTCTCATTCCAGGTTGGCCTCTGCTGTGTGCTAAGCAAATATTTCTAGCCCTCTCTGAAGCTTCTTTGGATCAGCTCTGCCCAAAGAGCCTCACTCATGGTGGTCACCTCCAGGTTCATCAAAGAGTCGGTTCAATAGACCCTCCACCAAATATCTGGTAGAACCACCAGTTCTGCGCTGTGAGGGGAGAAGCTGACAGAAATGAAGAATGAGAGGGGACGTCTGTCCCCTGGGTGCTTACTGGGGTGAGGCCAGGTGTAGATTGAGGAGGAAGAGTCACAGAATGGGGTGGGTTGAATTGGTGGCAGGGAGAATAAGGCCCCCAGACATCACCTGACCTCCAGGGGCCAAATCCAAGTCTACGTGGGCTCTGATTTTGAATTGTCAAATGTAGAAAATTATACCTGAAGGCTAGATTTCTGGCTTTTCCTGAAAAATGGGAGTATTGAACAACTGATCTCAACAATTGGGTGCCCCTTTAATTGGGGCCGTGAGCATCCCCACGTGTCCCCACCAGTCCCTGGGGACTACACCTCAACCACTTCACTCCTAATGAGTCTAATAAAAAGGCCCGTGGAGGCGGGTTTACCACCCTGATACCACTCTATGGATGGGAAAGTATACACCAGAGAGGTGCAGTGACTTCCTCAGGGACCTGCAGGGAAGCCTGCCACCCCTGGTAGGGTGCTCTCAGGGTGGACGTGGAGGTGGGGAGGAGGTAGCACCTAGCAGAGCAGTCCACTCAGTTTCCAGAAACATCCCACTGACCCCCGAGTGCTGAGAGCAGAGATATTGCTTCCTCCAGACACGGACGGCCTGGGCTTAGAAGCCCTGGCCAGATTCCTCTGACGACAGGAACTGGCAGGGGCACCTCTGATATAAACTGGAATTTCTGGGTAACTCCTGCTTATTCAGGTCCTCCTGTTCTGCCCACCTCTGGTCCCTGGGGACCCTAAAGAGACCCTTTTCTTGGGGGAAAAAAAAGGTGGGTTGGAAGAAGTCTCCTCTTCAAGGTGCTTCAGTGTGGGACCAGCGAACAGGGGGATGGTGAGCCGCAAGAGGAGTGTGGTGTTCCCACATTGCCCCCTCCAGATCTCTGTGGAAGGCAGCTATGGCCGGGAAGCAGCTCAGGCTCCGGTGAAAGGAGGCAAGCAAACAAAGGTTGATGAGAGGGCACTGAAAGAGGAATCCAGAAGCTTGTCTCTGTCCAAGTCTCCGCCCCTTAGTGTGCACTCTGGTCTCTGGCCCTCTCCAACCACACTCCAGTGACCATCTAATGCCTCCTCAGATTTTTTTTTTTTTTTTTTTTTTTTTTTTTTAGTTTTACTTTTAAGAGTCACAAACTCCACGGACTGAGCCAGCCAGGTGTCCCACCTCCTCAGCGTTCATCCTCCCTCTGCTAACATTCTGATTTTCCAGAGTGGATTCTGGAACTTTGCTAGAATTACTGAGAAAGCAGTACCCTCTCTCTGCTAGTGGAAAGTCAGCCTGAAGCTGCAGGAAGCCTTCCGTCAACCTTGCAGAAGACCCAACCCAGAGAAAACAGAGTCAAGACCTAGGAAGAGGCAGATTCCTAACCAAATACCTAAGCACCTGGATCCAGCTATGCCTGAAGCTGACTATCAGAACTTTTCGGTTACAGGAGCCAAGATACTCCTCTTTTTGTTTTTTAATTAAATCAAATGTCTTGGGGCAGCCCCAGTGGCACAGCGGTTTAGCGCCGCCTGCAGCCTGGGGTGTGATCTTGGAGACCGGGATGGAGTTCCCACATCTGGCTTCCTGTATGGGGCCCGTTTCTCCCTCTGCCTGTGTCTCTGCCTCTCTCTCTGTGTGTGTCTCTATGAATAAATAAAACAAAATCTTTTTTAAAAAAATCAAATGTCTTTCTACAACAACTAAAAAAGTTCCAACATGGCATCTCTAAAGAAGGAGCTTGGGCCACACACTACCTTTATCTTGGACAAAGAGTTTTTTTTTTTAATTTTTATTTATTTATGATAGTCACACAGAGAGAGAGAGAGAGAGAGGCAGAGACACAGGCAGAGGGAGAAGCAGGCTCCGTGCACCGGGAGCCCGACGTGGGATTCGATCCCGGGTCTCCAGGATCGCGCCCTGGGCCAAAGGCAGGCGCTAAACTGCTGCACCACCCAGGGATCCCTGGACAAAGAGTTCTTAACACTATGTAACTAACTTTACTTCAGCATTTATCAAACTTCTTTCTCCACAGAACCCTTCCTTTTTAGGAACAGCTGTTAATGTACTAGGGAAACGCACCTTGGCAAGTGCCTGCCAGGGATCTTGAGGTCCCTCCCAGGAGGCCTGTCAGGTCAGATTGCCTCACCACCCTCCCGCTCCCTTGCGCTGGCCTGCCCATTGCAACTCCATGCAGCTCAGTTTCTCTGGACCTTGGCTGCTCCCCCCAGAGCCTCTCTGCCCTGCAAGCCCTGGAAGAGGGCTCCAGTGCTTCCTGGCTGTAGCGTGTCCTTGATTCTGGGAACTGCACCAGGCTATGAGCTCTCTGAGGGTAGGACTTAAGCAGCCCCCCCCCCCAGCAACAACCTGGCACGCAGGAGGCTCTCAGGAACATGTGCTGAACGTGGACAGACTGTCCTGGCAAGTCCATGGTGGTTATCTGAGGGCCAAGCCACTCTCTGGGCAGGATGGAGTCCCACGCTGGGCTCCCTGAATGGAGCCTGCTTCTCCCTCTGCCTGTATCTCTACACCTGTCTGTTTCTCATGAATAAATAAAATCTTTAAAAAATAATAATAAAAAAAAAAAAGAGGCAGAGGGGGGCACCTGGGTGGTTCAGTGGTTGAGTGTCTGCCTTGGGCTCAGGTCGTGATCCCGGGGTCCTGGGATCGAGTCCCACATCAGGCTCCCCCGCATGGAGCTTGCTTCTCCCTCTGCTTGTCTCTGCCTCTGTGTCTCTCATGAATAAATAAATACAATCTTTAAAAAAAAAATGAAAAAAAATTAAATTAAATTTAAAAAAAAATGAAAGGGATCCTTGGGTGGCTCAGCAGTTTGGCACCTGCCTTCGGCCTAGGGCCTCATCCTGGAGTCCTGGGATCGTGTCTCACATCGGCTCCCTGCATGGAACCTGCTTCTCCCTTTGCCTGTGTCTCTCATGAACAAATGAATAAAATCTTTAAAAATAAATAAAAATAAATGAAAAATAAAAGGCAGAGAGGTTTGGAGGGTGTGCGGACACAGGTGTGGGGATGAGTGTGGAGGTTACTGCTTTTTTAGGATGATGGAAATGCTCTAAAATTGTGGTGATGGTCATACAACTCTGTGAATAACTACAAACTACCTTGGGGGCATCTGGGGACCTCAGTCTGTTAAGCATCCGACTCTTCATCTCCGGTCAGGCCTCTCAGGGTTGTAAGTTCAAGCCCCGCACTGTGTCCGTGCTGGGTGTGGAGCCTACTTAAAGAGACAAAAAATAAAAATAAAAGCTACTTAAGGATATACTTTCAATGGGTGCATTGTATGCTTATGTGACTCATAGCTCGATAAAGCCATTCCTAAAAGTGCGGGGTGGCAAGGTGGTTCTTAGAGCAGCAGCTCTCAAATTCAGTGCCCAGCACAAGCTGTACAGATGATTTGGAGGATGCTCAGCCATGTTTGGGGAGCCCAGATGAGGGGGGCTGAGGCAGTGGCGCAGGCCTGCTTGCTTGAGGCCTGGGATGCTTTGGGTGGGGCTGAGTGCCTGGGAGCCTGGATGAGACAGAAGAACCACAAGCCCCGGGAGAGCTCTCAGGCAGGTCATGGCAGGCTTCCAGTGGCTACAACCAACACCCCAAAAACAGGATGGCCAACCCGGGATAGGCATGGGGATTTCTCTCTAGCTCAGACTCCTGTGGCCAGCCAAGGGGCTGCTCAGGCTGCCTGGTCGGGCGGGGGGGTGCGGGGGACAGGGGGAACAAGCTTCCCAAGCTGCCCCGAGGCAGCCCCTGCTTAGAGCGAGCAGGTGGCCAGACCTGGCAGGCCCTTTGGACAGTCACAGCCCCTTCCACAGAGATCACAGAGCAACAGTTTGCTTGTTGGTTTATTTATTGTGGAGTATTTTACATGCAAGAACCCAAACTAGAGAGACAATATCCGGAAGAAGAGCCAGTGGGTGGATGGATGTACTCAACCTCGAGTTCACTGACCCACCCTCCAGAACAGGCTCTGCCTGCAGAAACGCACAACAGCGACGAACACCAGACTCCTGGGACAGCAGGACGACAGACACAACACATTTCTCTTTGCGATAGCCCCCAACGATCCTGAGACCCTCACAAATTAAGTGCAAACTTTAGGAAATAAATATCCACCCCCCGTCCTCCAGGAGGGCCTGGAGATTTTACACACAGAAGGAGTGTAACTCTGGGGTTGACAGCTTCCCCAGGGGCTGGTGGCTGCAGGGGAAGCCCGGCTCGGACCCCCATGGACAGGAAGGGTGGGAGGTGGGTACTGGGAGAGGCAGGTACCACATCAGGAGTCTTCTGGGTGCACACACACCCTGAGCCAATGGTGGGGAAGCTGGCTGTTCCCCAGGGGTATGGAGAGAGTCCGAACAGCCCGGGGAGGAGGACAGGCTCACAGTGGGCTGGCTGAGAACACAGGACCCGGCACAGTGCTCTTCCCCAGCTAGCCCACGGCCCCCCTCCAACCATCCAGAAGGCGAGGCCTGACCGAGTTAGAAACACATCTATGTGGAGGCAAAGTGTGGTGGGTGGCAGGAAGGAAGAGGAGGAGCAGGAGTGTAGGAGGCTGCAGCTGTCTGCCCCATGACACTGGAGGAGTGCCTATTGCCACTGGGCCATCCAGAGCCCGGGCCGCCCCTCTTGGGGCTGGGGGCTTGAGTGACGGTACAGGCCCACGGCTCCCCAGGCCCCCTGGCTCCAGCCCCTAGGTGCGCAGGGGAAGGGCAGTGAGCCAAGGCAGGCAGCATGGTCACCCACCCCGATGGGGCTGACGAACAGAAAGACAGGACGACAACAGATGAACAGGCACCTTCCCTCTGGCCCAGGCCAGCGACAAGCCATGTCTGCTCAAGAAGCCCTCATTCTGTGCATGATGATGAGCGGGGAGGGGGTCACCCCTCGGCCTGGCCCTTGTTGGCCTGCTCGGGCCTGGGCAGGGGGGGTGGTCCTGGACAGGGACTGTTCCAGCGCAGGCTGCCCACCAGTGCCCTGGGTCACTGCTGCCCACTGGCCACAGAGGCAGGCTGGAAGCAATGGTTAGTTTTCTCATCTTTGCACACAATGAACACAGAAAAGGTTCAACACGTCCCCAAGAAAATATTTTGACAAAATAAATATTTTAACCTATAATCAGGTATAATTAGTGCTTATAAGGAATCCCAGCAATAATTTAGTGTAATTAAGTACATACTGTATCTGTGATTTCTAACACTTGCGGAAAGGCTGGTGGCTTGTGAGGGGCTCATTCTCCGGGGGCACAGGCACTGGCCAGCTTTCCTGCCAGAGCTCCACTCTCCTCACTGAGCAGGAGCCTGGGGGCTGTGCTCCCCACATGGAAGGGAGCCAGCAGTCCTGAGGCCCAGGGTGCCTGTGGCCTCAGGACAGGAAGGGCTGGGCGGCACCCCCTTACGGCCACCTGGACCCCCACTTGGCTTTCTGTGCCGGCCTGAAGCAAGCGTCATCTCAGCTTCCAGGTAGGGGCAGGTGGCCTCTGGACCTGATGTGTGGGTAAGTGGGAGGGGCAGCTCCGGGTCAGGAAGGCAGGTGACACTTCCCTCCACGGGCCAGTGCCTTCCTGCCAGCCCACAGCGTCCAACACCACCCGCCACCCAGGAATGGCCGGGCCTCTCCAAGCCCTGCCTGGAGTTGGGGGGCAGCTCTTGCCCATGGGTAGTAAGAACAGCCATGCTGAGGTCTCCCCAGGCAGACACAGGCTTCAGTTTCACTCACTGCCAGGAGCCTCCTCTCCCCTCACATCCCGGCTCTCATGGGCACTTGCCCTTCCACAAGGCAGGGAGGCTGACTCCTCCCTCAGAGGATGCTGGGCTCGGCTGCTCTGGTGCCATGGCTGCCACAGGACTGCCCCAAGACCCAGCTACAAAGGCGGGCCCCTGGCCCTCACAAATATTCCAGACTGTGCCAAAGGGCTAAGAGCTGGGGCTCAGGGTACAGCTGACCCATCCCAGCCACCTTCTCTGCTCATGTTGAGCCAGCTGCCTTCAGACGTTTGAACATCCCAGCAGGCCTCAGGGTGCCCTGCCTGTGAGCAATGTTGAGAAGAGAGGTCCACATCAGCTGTGCGCCAGGGTTGGGCGGGGGGGAGTGGAGGCATGGCACCCGCTGTGGGGGGCAGGCAGGGCTGGAGTCAGGCTGGCTGACCTCTGATCTCTGAGGAGCTTCCTGCATGTCCTCTGGAGTGTGACATCCCCAGCTGGTCCTGCCAGACAGGCCCCCAGACAGACCCCAGGCTCCTCTCACGGGGGAGCCACTGCATGAGACTGAGCCTGGGGTTCTGGGCCAGGTGGCACTTCACTCCCCATCAGGGGTGTCCAGGCCTGGTCCCAAGTGCTGCTCCCAGAGCCTGAGGCACTGGTGTCAGACAGTGTCAAGCCCCGCCTCTCCTCCCTGCTCTGGCTGCCAGGCGGTAAGGGCTGACCACACTATGGCTCACGAACATGTCTGGCCCAGACACCTGGGCAGTGCATACTGGGTCACTGACCCGGGCCCTGGGGACTCAGGGGCTGGCTCGAAGCAGCTGCAACAATCTTTTCCTTCTTTGGGGCAACCGTAGAACAGCGGTGGGTCAGGCTGGACCTGGGCTGGTGCCAAGCCTCGAGCACCCTGCCCATGGCCAGGAGACACACCAGTGACAGGAGCAGGTGTCCTCAGCCCCAGGCTCTGTTAGCTTTCCAGGTCAGCTTGGAGAGAGGATAGAAATTGGTGGCCAAGAGGGGTTTGGGCAGTGGGGAGGAGGGCAGGCTTTTGGGATGGTCTGTGGAGGAAGTTGAGACCCACTCCCTGGGGCAATGCGGGGCCCTTGGTGTCACTCTGGCCCCTAAGTCATTGACTGTCCCAGGACTGTGCAGAGACATCTGCTTCTGGGCCCTGGAGGTAGAGGTGCAGAGGCTACCACAGGCCAGGCCAAGCCCCGAGCACAGCACACTCACACACCCACCAAGCTTCCCCATGCAAGCCAGAGCAGTTCTTCCCCAAGCAGGGCCCTCCACAGACAGGGACAGCTATGTGGGGGCAGTGTGCAGTGGGCACGTGGCAGTTTGGTTTACGGTAGTGTATCTGCAGGAGCTAACCCGTGCGCCTTGGGACCACCACCCACAAGTTTTGTGCACTGTCCTTGCAACCGTCCTTGGCTCTCCGTCCTCACACCAGGAGCCCACAGGTGCATTGGAGACCCCTTGGTCCCAAACTCCACTGGTGAGCCAGCTTGGGTGGGGGCCTGGGCTAGCAGCCAAGCAATGGGGAGAGGGTCAAGAGGATAAGAGGCCTCACACATGGGCACCCACAGAGCCTTCTAAAGTGCCGAGCATGCCAAGTGCCACCAGGTGACACGCGTCAGGGAGCAGCATTCCAGGGAGGGAGACCAAGCCCATAGGTACAAACAAGCCCTTTCTGGAACAGGGGGACTGGCCTGTCCAAGGAGACCCGGAGAGCCAGGCAGGGGTGGGGCATGTGGGGGAAGGGCTGGGGTTTGACCCCCTTCTCTGCAGGTGGGGGACTGGAGAAAAGATAGTCCAGGTATCTTCTCAGGAAATGGTCCCTTGGGGACTGCCCTGCCTGAGGCTGGGTCCTGTGGCCTGCTCTTCTGGGGAGAACATGTAGGCAGAGTGGGCCTGAGGTCAGGAGGGGCGGGGGAGGGAGGAGAGCCTCTGGCTGCGGTGGTGCTGACCCACCACTCAGAGAGAAGGTGGCTAAAGCTGGTCCTGACTAGTGGGACGCCTAGGAGCAAACAGGGGGGCATTTCCATGGAGACACAGCAGCACAGGACCGAGTGGGAGGACTCCAGGACTGGAGATGGGAGGGGTGGCCAGTGTCTCGCGTGGACTGGGGGGGAACAGGAGATGACCTGCCGTCTGGGGAGCCGAACCGCAGACCAGCTCACAGGGCAAAGAGGGCGTCCTCTGACCGTTCTGGCTTCTTCCGGCTGGAGGGGTTTGAGGCTGGGGCCGGGGCCTCCCCTGGGGGCGAGGGGAGGCTGGGGACCATTTCAGCAGCTTTGGCTCTTTCTTCGAGGAACTTATCGAATTCTGCAATACAAAACCCAGGCAAGGACCAGGATTGGTTAGGCCTACAGTGAGGCTCCGAGGCTCCAACAACATCCCACCTGTTCCCCTAGAGCCCCCTTTACTTGTGCCAACAGGGATTGACCCCTGGGGTGAGTTCCCACCCTCACCACCCTAGCCTGGGCTGCCTGCCAGGGAAGGAGGCAGGGAGGGGCAGGGGGGGCAGCCAGCCAGAGCCGGGACTGCTTGAAGGCCCAGCCTTGACTCCCTCCTCTGCCTGCCTCTGGGGCAAGCAGGAAGCCTGGCTGCCAGCGGGTGGTGGAGGGGGAAGAGGTATTTAGGATTCCTGGCCCACCTCCAGCTTGGCACTTTTCTGTTCTCCAGATCAGCACTGGGGCAGGGTGGGGAAAGCTGGAGGGGCAAGTTCCTACTTAAATTTGACAGAGAACATCCCCCCACGGACTCTCATCCCTCAAGCCCAGTTCTGCCAGTGGAGGGGGTCTGAGCAGATGGTCTGGCAATGCTGAGGAGAGTGGGGTGGGGGTGGGGGTCAGACAGAAGCAGAGGGTGGGAGGTTGAGGCTGCCAGGCAGAAGTAATGGGGGGGAGCTGTAAAGGTGCTGGCCAGGTCATACCTTCACTTGTGACTCCCTCCTCCAGGTCATCGCCCTTCTGTGGGAGGAGCAGAGGGAGCAGCATTAGGGCCCTGCCTGGTGGCACTGCCTGAGCAAAGCCTCCCATTCCCCATTCCCCAAGTTCTGTGATAGTAAAATACTGCTTGTCTTGTTAGACACACAGAAAACTTTGTTTTTCAAAAAGAAAAAAAAAAAAAAAACCCAAACTGAGTAGTTCTAGGCTTTGATTCTCTAGGAAGGCCAGAAAGAAAAATCCAAAAAAAGGCACAGCTTGATCTCTGCGTTGGGCTACAGCAGAACCACAGCAGGCCTTGGCCCTGCTGTTGACATTCTCCCAGAACAAGGGCCACAAGGAGGTGGAGCCCGAAGCATGCCCAGGGCCCCCTCAAGGGTTCCTCCACTCAGCAGCCACTCAGATCTGCAAATCCACAGTCCATCCCAGCAGTTGGGAACTGCATGAGGCCTGGAAGGGACAGAGCCATGAAGCCTAGGGCACAGGGCTGATACAGGTGTATTTGGCAGTAGAGTCTGTCCCGCCAGGAGCCATGTCCTGCAGGCCAGGGGAGCCCAGATTCCGTCACCTGCTGCCGGTTCCTGAGAAGCCATGGAAGCTCTGAGAGCTCTTACCAACGCAGTGGATAAGACTTGATTTGTTTGGAGAAACAAATTTGTTTGTTCCCAGGGTCACTAGGAACCCACTGCACAGTGACAGGGAAGTGGACCAGGCCTTGGGCTTGGCCAGGAGACCTGGTTTCCTTCCTGGCTCTGCCATTGACCTGTTGCTGCTCAGCCTTCCTGGATGGGCTCCCCCCACCTGCCTTGTGAGGTGAGAGCCTTGGTCCTTCCTGCTTTGCTTCTTTCTGTGAGAGAAGCTATTTCTTTTCCAGGCATTCCCCTGGGAAACGCATAATGGGGCATTTTCCTCCTCCTCTGGCATGGCACCTGGGTGTCTGCCTTGCTGGGCAGTGAGTGTCTTCAGAAAGCTTGGCCTTGTGGAGAGGTGGCCCTTTGTGGGGCTGTATATTAGTGTAGGAGGGGGCCAAGTCAGCAGCCCTCTGGCAGCCAGGACAACCCTGTGGTTAAGGATGGTCTGTTCTGGGGACAGGGTCCCCTGAAGAGTTGACAGCTAGGAACAAGAGATGCGGTGTCTCCAGGACTAAGGGAGAATCTGCCTAGCCCATGACCTTGGGTGAGCTACTTCCCCTCCCAGAGTATATTCTGTCATCAGCCCCCTGGCCAACAACCCCCACTCTGCCTCCCATACAGCAGCTGCCAGTGAAAGTGCTTTGTAAGCAGCAGAGGGAGGGACCAGCCATGCAGCCCTCCTTTCTTGGGACCTGCTGCCATTTGGAGATGCATGATGTCCTCACCTTCCTGTGCTAGCTCTGTGGATAAAGAAAATAGTCTCTAGGGCAAGGGTTCTTTTAAATGTAAGATACCAGGAGATACTAGGGAAGCCGGGAATGACAGTAAATTAAAAAAGAAAACCAAAACCAAAACACCTGACTCTGTATAATTTCACAATGAAAAGGGAAAAAAATTAAAAATAAACCCCAATAAGATCTCAAAAACCCAAAGCAAAAAACCCAAGCACACACACACACACACACACCTCTGCTACAGAAAAGTCACTGGGGACAAGTGTGTGCTCCGGAGCTGGCCAGAACCCTGCCTGCCATGGCCTCAGGTGGCCAGGGCTCAGGGACTGTGCCCGAAGCAGGTACTCCGGGGCGAGCAGTTGGGCTGGCAGCCTGCAGCAGGCCACTCTCGTCCGCCACCCCATGGGGGAGCAGCCCACGGCCCGGGCCATCCAGAAGCACTCTGCCTCGCCACACCCCGCACACAAAAGAGAAAAGTCAAGTCTCACCAGGTCCGTCCTGAGCCACACCTCAATGTCGTCCATGACAGAGGGCTGCGCAACGGGGATCTATGGAGGCGGCAAGCGGCGGGCCAGGCAGCCCCACAGCCAGGCGAGGGGAGACAGAACACCGAACAAAGTAAATCATCAAAAGCAACCCCAAAACGAAACCAAAACGTACACAGAGCAAACAAAAAACAAAAACGCATTGGCACAGCAGGCGCGGGCAACATCAGGCAGCCACATATGAAATGGCAGGTGAGGGAAGCAATGAGGTGGCCGGTTCTAGGAAGCAGGGCTGACCGGCAGGTGCCGGGGCGGGGAGGGGAGGGCAGCGGTACACGTTCTTGAAATGGATAACTTTTTGACCACTCTCAGCCCAAGGCTGCCCTGCTCCTCCAACTTCATCAGGTTAGTACCCCTGCCTACCAGCCAGTGAGGCCTCAGCCCTGGGGGCAACCAGAGGAGACACCAGCACCCACCCCCTCTGCCTGCAACAATGTGGTTGGGAGGCCAGGGGGCATTCTGCCTGGGGCAGGGGTGCAGGTGGTCAGGAGGGCGCTGCAAGTGTTTTGGACCGTGTCCGGTGCATCTCTGAGTGGGAGGAGGGGAGCGCTGGGGCCTGGGTAGGGCCTGGCTGACAGCAGACAGGCCCAGCTCACCGCCAGCACAAACGGGCAGAAGCTAGAGCTTTGATGACCAAAGCGACAGCGGGATTTTAGTCGTGTTTGTCTCTTTGGGGGAGAATCATGAAGCGGGCCTGGAACTTGGTGGCTCCTTTACTCTCACCCCGTCTTCCCAGCTCTCGATGGCTGGTTGGGCTTTGGGAGCCAAAGAAAATGAGTTTGGGAAGAGAATGGAGAACTGGGCAGCAGGGGCCACGGGTTTGTGTGTGTGTGAGTAGGTCCTGAGCAAACGACGACACGCCTCATGGACAATGAGCGGTCTCCCATGCCTGGCCCACCCGTGCCAACACTTTGGGGGCAGTGATTCTGAAACTTGCATTTGGCTAGGACATAATAGTGGCTCATGAGTCCACTATTTCCAGAAAATACATGAGCACTGTGTCTATAGCTGGTTCCCCCCAACATCACAATCTAGGGTAAGAATCCAGTTAAAATAAGCAATGAGAGGACTGCCTTAGCATTTGCCAAATCTCAAAAATAACATGACCTTAACAAAGGAAAAGAACAAAGATTTCCCATGGCTAGCCCTGCCTTGACGGGACAAGCTGGTCCTAGACACGGAAACCTGCTGCTGATGGAGTTCGGGGCGTGAGGTAGTGAGGACTCCTAAGCCTGCCCGAGCCTACTGAGCAGGTGTCTGTGATCCTACAGGAGCTCTGCGTGGGTGCACCCATACACACTCACACACACACCTGGTGGGGCTGGCAGCCCCCTTGCTCCAATTACCTGGAGTAGCTTCACGTGCATCGTGCCTAACTACAGACCCAGCATGGGCCACCCACAGGCATCTTCATAAAGGTGCAAGCCCAACCTTGATCAGGTTGGGAAGATTCTATCTACACTGTCATTTTATTTCTTTGACTCCCTGGGAACTTAGTGCTGAAATGAAAAAAAATGTCAAGGAGTTCAAATCACCCTGAGAGGACTCCTAGGGACAAGGAACATGTGAGTCTCCCTCTGGAGTGCACAGATGCCTGACATGCATGTGCTAACGGCACCCAAGGCAGTACCCACCACCCCCATCAAAAAAAAAAAAAAAAAAAAAAGAAAAAGCACAGTAGGGTACACAGGGCATGACCTGCTAATTTTATGCTTGCTGGCAGGGCTTCTTCTTTTTTTTAAGATTTTATTCATTTATTTATTCATGAGAGAGAGAGAGAAAGAGAGGCAGAGACCTAGGCAGAGGGAGAAGCAGGCTCCATACAAGGAGCCTGACGTGGGACTTGATCCTTGATCCCGGGATAATGCCCTGAGCCAAAGGCAGATGCTCAACCCTTGAGCCACCCAGCCGTCCCCAGGGATTCTGTCTTGACGTGTTCCCAGGACAGCAGATGCCAATTTTCATTATCTTGATGCTTATATAAGGCAGAATGCCTGGCCTCTGAGACAATGCGTGCCATACCAAGTTCTCAGAAACAAAGCCTGGAAAGTTAGTGGCATCTCTAAACAGAAAATATGCCCAACCAGACTTGTTGGGAGCGTGCACTGGGCTTTTTTATACCTACCCAACTTTAGTCTATCAAGGAAATGGAGGTTCAAGGGGGCAGAGCTTTCCATCGTGTGGCAGGAGCTTGAAAAAAAGCCATGAAGGGGTCATGGACCTTAAACCTTCAGACTTGGTTTATAATGTTCTTGTTCAAAAGTAAGCCCCTCGAGGCTGGGTATCACGCACCAGTTTTCTTTTTTGAGGATTAATCTTGAAAGCCAGCACACTCAGAAAATAAACATTGACATCTGAGAAACTCATCTCCTCAAAAAATATTTCCCAAAAGCTGGATCATGGAACACTTTTCTTCCTTCTCCTAGACTTCTCCAAATAAGTAGTGTGTTTATGGCAGGGCATCCTCCGGGTGAAACCAGGAGCCAGGGCGCTGGGCAATAGGGTCACTTGGGCTGGACTTGTCAGATCACTTTTCGAGCAAATCGTTTTTCTCTGGACTTGCTTCTTTACATGAGAGCCCTGAAGTCTCTGTTATCCTAAGAAGCCTCTGCCTTCAGGCAGAGCAGGGATGGGGACAGGGGTTGGGTAATTCCTGGCCTCTGTTCCCTTCTCTGTGCAACAGGGTGATGGCTAGGTCATATTTAGTTTTCACCTCTCAGAACTCCCAATCCCTTAACTTCCAGGTGAGGGTTTCTGTTTTCCAATTTTGAAGCCCAGAGATATGGTCCATGACTGGCAAGGACTCCTGGCATTGACTCCTTCCAGTAAGAAAGGCACTTGGCTTCAGGACAGGAACCTCCATGGAGTTAGGGAGAGAGCTAACAGTAAAGCTTATATAACACAGGGCAAGGGTTGACTTGCTTGCGGTTGGACACAATTCCTTAGCTATATAAACCTCCCGCCCTGGTGTATCAATGCTTTGAGTACACCACCAGGGTAAAGTTCCTTCTAACGATGCGGGTACTACTAGAAACAGACTAAACACACACACTGTTCTCCAAACAGGAACTGCAGAAACTGGGGAGGGAGGAAGAGGAAGCTCCCGCATTCATGCTGACGGAAGGGAAGGGAGAGGCCTTGGCCAGGGAAGAGGGCAATGGACTCTGCCACTGCCCCGTGGCTTTGGGCACGTCACCAGGCCCCTGAGAGGCCTCAGTGTTCTCATCCATCAAATGAGGACTTGCCCAGCTGATCCCTAAGAGCCTGTGGCCTCTGCCATGCCTTGGTTTTAGCATCTTCTTAGGCAATGATCCAAAGCAGAAGGCTGGTCCAAGGGTCTGAAGAGGAGGGTGTGGGGGGACGGGGACAGAAAGAAAAAGATATGAAGACAGAAAAATAAAGAAGCTAGCACGGGGCCACCCTCCCGTAAAGACCAGCGCCCACAGGGCTGGCTCAGCTGAGGCAATGGGGAGACACGCCCTGCCCATCTTCAGAGTCCGAAGAGAAACCGGCATACGGAGTGCCAGAAGTGTCAGATCTTGCCATGGGTGCTGGGGGAGCTGTGTGCTGACCCTTGCCGGGCTGCAGGTGGGGGCGAGGTGGCACCACCCGCCCGGCTGCAGCCAGTGCTATAGTGGCTTCAGGCATGCTGTGTCCGGGGGTTCTCCAGGCCTGAGTAGGGCACCCCTTGGGTCCCAGGCCCAAACCTGGGCTTTGGCAGCAGCACACTACTACCAACCTAGTGTTGCTCCTCCTCTTGTTGAGGATTACATTTGTTCCTTGCAGAGTACCCTGACTGCACTCTGCATGCATATGGAGAGGCCAGGGGTGAGGGGAACGGGGTGGGGTGAGCAGCGAACCACCAAACATGCAGTCTCCAGGCAGGCTGGTGCACAATGCCTCTCAGGGTTCTTCTTGATGGATAATGAATCTGGGATTGTTGGAAATCTTGACACCCAGAGTCCCAGGTGAACAAAGGCCTGTCTCCCATAGTCCCAAATCCACAAGGAAAGCTTAAGAGTCTAATTTACAATGCAACATGAATAGTATTTGAAAAGCTACGGTGTGTTACTTCTAGAGAATTGTGAAATCCTTCCTACGATATGTGCCACTGCCACCCAAACTTGAGGAGCCATCTAGAAGCCCTTCAGTCTCACTCAATAGCACAAAAAGTTTCCAAGTAAAGAATTTGTACTCGGGGGTTTGGAAAGACTCAGGGTTTCTACACTATGGGAAATAAGGCAAAGCAATTACTACACACTGTTTAAAAGGGAGAAAAAAAACACTGCAGTCAGGCAGGTGAGATATCAGGTTAGCTGTTAGTTGGGCTTGTTTCTGGGAAGTTGGAGACTGGAGCTCTAGTGGGGACAGGGCGGAGGAGAGTGGCTCTCATGTGGGCAGAGGCAGGTGCCACGACCGGCTGCCAAGGCCACACTCAGGGCAGTTGGTATGAGCAGTATCCTTTTTTGCAGGATTAATAGGCACAAGGACACATGGCTACATCCTTCCAATTTGGAACTGGCATGGACATGACCTCCAGGAGCCCTGCTCTAAGGCCATCCCACACCATGTGGACCAGAGTCCCAGCCTGTCCCTGAAGAAGTAAATGAGGGCTCCAGGCATCCTAGGTCTCTAAGAATGGCCTCGAGGTCTAGTGCAGAAACAGCAGCATGGAGTGCCTGCTGCTGTGACCTGAGTGTGGCTGTGCAAAGGTCCCTCACTCTAAGCCGGGGTGGCAGATACCCCCACCCCCCACCCCTTGGTTCTGATGGTTCTGTGTGGCTGGTGTCCTTGCATACTGGCCACACCTTGTTCAGGCAGATTACCCCTGCTGCACTGCCTACAGTCTTAGACTTGCTGGCCTGTCTGAACACTCCTCCCCTGGCCACAACCTGGCACCATTTCCTGGGCCCAGATATGCTTCCTCCCCGGTTATGTGTCTAGTGTCTGCCCGGGTTCACCCCAGAGGCTGACGCTTCACTGCTTTTATCATATCTTCTGTGCATCCCCTGCTGTTCCAGCCCTTCCACATACGCACGCACAGACCTTTGGTCTCTATGTTAGAGGTGCTTGGGGAGGGCTGTGGCTTCATTAGAAATGAAATCATCCCTTCAAGGCAAGCAGCCTGGAACGAGGTCACCCTCTCTCTCTACCAGACTCAGGGCCACCTGATCAGATGAGGCAGGAGAGGCCCTCTCAGGTCTCTGTGGCAGAAAAGCTTCACTCCATGAGAACTGTGTTTATGACATTAAACTCCCCTGGCTTTGTCTTCTCTTTATTCTGTTCCTATTGTGTTTGTTTCTTTAGGGTGTCTCAAATTCTTCTGGGAGACGTATAACACCATTATAAAGACCCATCAGCCTAGGACTGCCAAATTCATAGGCTAGATTCATAGGCTGGAGGGGGCTTCCCCAACCAATCAGATGCTTTTGAGTCTGTTCTCTTAGAAACGTCCCCTCCAAAGCAAAAGCCACAGTAACTTGTGCTCTATCCTGGAAAAATGAATACTGCCGAGAGCTCCAGAGACAGTAAAAGGAGGGAAGGGGCCCTTCCATCACTCCCACAAATGTCCCAGACCCTTAAGGCTTGAGGCACAGACCTCAGCAGAAAACCAGGAGGTGTTTCTGGGGCTGGAGGCCTGTGGCTTAAGGAGATTGCACAAATGCAGAAGGGGAAAATTTGGTACCCAGTCAAAAGGAAAGAATGGCCTTGTACTGTCTGACTCACAAGGGCTCAGCAGGTGACATAGGGAAGCACTGGGGTGAACAGGGGACTCGGCTCAGCTGGTGACCTCTCACCATTCCTTGGGTTATGAGCCAGCTGTCTATGGGCTCCAGGTCAGAGTCCCCACCTTTACCTCTCTTCTGGGCCGAGGACAGAAAAGTCCCAGAAAGAAAAGTCACAGCAAGACCCAGAATAAAGAAAGCAACAGTATATATCATGGAAACAGAAAAGCCACTGTTGAGAGTTGATCTGTTATCAGGTAAGGGGATGGTGGCCCGCTGCCCCCGCCCCCCTCCAGCGTGCCCCCCTTACCTGCTTGAAAAAGAGAAGTTTAGTAATCAAGAGTCCCAACAGGGGACCATATACTTATGCCAACTGTTTTGTACACTTGGAAAATCTCCATGAGGTCACAGAAAGTTGACCACGGCTGCTTCTCCTGATTAGGGCTCTTGGGGTTGGCAAAGGGTCCATTTTTCAAAGAGCCAGCTTTTACGAAGTCATTTCTACTCTGTTCCTAACTTCTTTCTGCTTGTTTCCTCCTTCTCAGTTACCTATGTGTTTCTTTTTCCAAACTCTTAACTTGACCATTGAGTTTAGGTAAGTTACCCTTTTTCAAATGATAAAAAGCATTTAAAGTTAAGACTTCTGATGTGGTTGCACTGTGCAGGTGTGGCTATACCGTCTTCTCCCCTTTCCTGTGTTCTCCGTTGGCCCAGTTTTCATTTCCAGGTCAGCAAAGTTTAGGATATGGAACACTGTGAACTGAAATACTGGCCTGAGGATGCATGTGGGTAAGTGTGTGCACAGATATACTGAGACAGAGACACACACACAGAGATCTACATATACTCTCACACAGACACAGACACACACACACACACACACACACACACAGACAACACAAACCCTGCTTCCCCTCCGCCCCCCGCCCCCATTGAGCAGTAAACATGAAAGCAATCTGCCTACCATCAGGTGGAAAACATGCTGGAGTCATCAAGATCTTTGCAAACAGGGAGATGGGCCAAGCCACACACCCAAAGGGTGAAGGGCAGGACCCTGGCCACCTCTCCTGTGCTTGGATCCAGGCCTAGGCACTGATAACAGAGAGATGCAGTAGGACACACCCTGGCATGGATGGGGACAGGCCCTGGAGGCAGAGTGGGAAGCAAACCAGGTCCTCCTGGCTGAGGAACGGAGCTTCAGGCCAGGTCAGGTTGGGCCAGGAGGAGGTAATGCCCTCATCTGGAAGGGTGCTGGGGGGCCCTCCTAATGCCCTCTCTGAGTTCAGCAGGAGACATCCCAAGTACTGAGAGGAACAGAGCCGCGGTGACCACTGTGTAGATTTTGGGAGTCCCAGTGCCAGGGGTAGAAAGGCAGGGTGCTGAGACGCAGGGCAGTTGGGCTGGCTCTTCTGTGCCCCCTAGTGGCCAGTGCAGAGGGCCACACAATCCTCCACCCAAGTCTGAGCCAGGACAGAGGAGCAAGTTCCTTCCCCAGGCCAGTCTTCTGGAAACCAGGCTGTGGCACTACTGCCGGTCAGGCCCATTTGGACAAGGGCTGCAGGAGGCCAAGAACTGTTGTTCTGGAAGCAGACCTCCCTGTCCAGTGGGCAGGTGAGTACTGCTCCTTTCTAACCCAGCTGGGGGACCCTGGGAGGAGGTCCAGCTGTTCCGGGGGCCACTATCCCCAGAGCGCTCCCCCCACCCCATCACTGCAGACACTCATTCACACCCTGCCACATACATTTTTTAGCGAAAAGGGGGACGGTCCCATGAGAAGCATTAAGACACAAATCCTTTCCCCTGCAGTGACCTGAAACCTCACGGAATGCACAGCCGCAATCTGGGACTCTAACAAGCAGTACCCGCCACTTCAAAGCCCCTCTGCCTTCAGCCTTGCTCCTTACCGAGCTGCCCAGAACACCCTCCTGGCTTCTACCCGCAGCTCCCTCCACCTCTCCAGCCCCAGATCCCCAGCCAAATCCTGGCCACCCACTGCCTGCTAGTGGCTTGGTACTGCTTCCCTAGGCCCACCACAGATGCTCAGCTCACACGCTACTCAGATGATCATTTCCCTTCCCTGAACAGATCAGTGTTTTGTCAGAGCACCGCCCAGCCCCAGGGCAGCATAATGTCTGAGGAGAGACCCTATCTGGCTGTAGGAGACCTCTGCCCTGAGAGCTCGGGGCCCCCAAGGTAGGAAGACAAGGGGCTCTGGAGCTGGACCTCCCAGGACAAATCCCTGCTTGCTGTCTGCAGGGACACTGGTGCCGAGAGCATACTGCCAACTCTCTGGGCCTATCTCTCTGGGGTTCACAGGCAAGATGACTGGGCAACACTCGAGGGGTGGGGTGAGGACTCACAGAGGCAATACAGCGCTCTCAAGGCAGTCTTCCCCAGTGGACCCTGCCCTCCATGCAATCCACCGTCTGCTTTACTACCCAGGCAGCTTTACGGCACGGGCTGACTTTCCCTCCAGAGGACTCCAGGCAGAAAAACAGGCTTAAAAACCTACCACTTCAGAGCTCTGTTTCCGACTGTCTAGTGCAGACGCCAGTCCTCCAACAGCCTGAGGGTCCTCGTAGGTTACCCTGGAGACAAGCAGCACAAACGGTCAGTTCCCTGAAGGGGCCCCAGGGAAAGGGGTGGTGACGTATAATCACTTTCTAGCCCTGGCACCTGCCTCAAGGGTACTTGGAAGAACAGTTCCTGAAGCCTTGACATTTAATGGCTCAAGCTGTTGTCTGACTGCAACCAAAGCCAGGAGGCCAGGGTTCCAGCACAGGATGTCAAAAGTGCCCTGAAAACTGCAAATAATATTAATTCTTATTTTAAAAGCAGCAGCCTCAGTGACATTTGATAAGGGAGATAGTCTTATGGTCTGGGGTTGGGGTCTGTCACTAACAGCCTGGCACTAACAGTCTGTCACTAACAGACCCCAACTACGGAGGTTCTCTTCCTCTGTGTTCTGACCCCTTTTGCTATATCCATGTTAAAAGCAACTTGTGCTGGTAAAGAGTGACTGGAGCCTTGGGTTTCTGGTCAACCCATTGATGCCTGAGTGTGGGAACTCCAAGGTGAATGCCTCAAGATGTTGGGCCCCAGGGAAAGGCAGGAAAGTGTTCTTTGCTTGCCTTAAGGTTGAACAAACAGCTCAAAGCATGTTCATGTGTCTCCCTGAGATGCAGAGCATTGTCTATTTTGGGATCAATGTCCCCAATATCATATGGCTCATCCTGGCCAGGGCTGCCATCAGGGAAGTCTCTGCCCACATGCTAGCACAGGAAAACCATGCTGATGAGAACGAATTCATGCCCTGTCTGGCTATACCCCCTAGCTCCCAGTCATCTTTAGCAGCAGTACAGGGAGCAAAGAAAATGCAGAGTGCTCTCTCATGACTGACAGGAGAAATCCAACTACAATCAACCCCAAGGCGGGGGGTGGGGATGGTGTGTGTGGGGTTTGGTGTTCATTCAAAATCTCTGTCTGCCAAATCCTCAAAGACATATTTCTATGTTCTTGGCAGCCCTGGACCTCGTAAATAAAAGGCGTCTTTGTGTTGGCCTGTGACCAGGCCTGGATCAATCCTCCCCCAATGTCTTCCAAGAGCTGCTGAAATGGTCCCCACATACGTCTTGCGTTGTTCGGCCAAGGAGTTCCCTCTCGTCTGGGCAAACATGTCAAAGCCATCACGGGGATTACACTGCTGGAGTGAACTGAGGGTACCACTGACGCTCTCAGTCCCCAAGTCTGTGGTAACAAAACAAATGAGGGGAGGTTGAGAATAAAATGTGGCCCATGGACTTCACCGAGCATCCCCACATTCAGAAGCCAGTGGGCACATTATTGGGGGAGGTTGGGACACAGGGACACAGGCTTTTCTTCAGCACCCGTACGTGGAGGAAGAGTCACGCTGGGGCCCAGATGGGGGCCAGAACAGCCACTGGCCCCTCCCAACCCCAAGCTGCTCAAGGTGAGCAAGAGTCATTATAAATGAAAGGGAGATGGCTGGCAGCAAAGAGGGACAGACCTGGGGCCGGTGCCCCTGCAGATTTCCCACAACAGTCTTATCAGAATGTTCCTCACTAACGCAGTCACACATCTAAGGGCCCGGGTCACGTATTTACTTGGCACCCACTACGTTCAGAGCTTGATCGTGAGCAGACCAAACTGAATCTGATGTGGTCCCTGGCCTCAAGGAATGTATCGAGTAGGTGGGAAACAGACAGACACCACCAGTACCTGGCCTGAGAGTACTGGAAGAGACTCACAACTGACCTCAGAGTGGGGCCTGAAGGACCAGGAGGGACAGGTAACTTGCAGGCACAGAGCCTGCAAGTCCAGGGTGTGTGAAGTGAGCAAAGCTCATGGAAACACTGATGAATGACAAGTCTGGAAAGGCAGGTGGGAGGTGGGGTGGTGGGGATGAAAATCCTCAAATGCCGGGTCAAGGAGCCGATGGAAAGGATACTAGACCCTTTAACTGTAAGATTTATTTCCTTATTTTTAGGGACAAAGCATTTGTGCATGCACATGTGGAGGGAGGAGGGGAAGAGGGGGAGAGAGAGAATCTTAAGGAGGCTCCACACCCAGCACAGAGCCTGACTCAGGGCTCGATCTCATGCCTCTGCAATCATGAGCAGAGCTGAAATCAAGAGCTGGACGCTTAACCAACTGCACCACCCAGGCAACACTAGACCTTTATTTAAGAAGGCAGGCAACAGAATTCAATTTGACTTTTGGATATCAAATCTGGTGGCCATATGCTGGATGGATTGAAAGCAGAGAAATCTGTTCCAAAAGAAACAGTGGCTACAGATCCATGAGATGCCAAGAAGCCAAAATTATAGCAACTGACAAGCCACTAAATAAAAGCCTGATTCAACTGAAATGGAATGAAGGTATAAAAATAAATGTTAAGAAAAAAAAAAGGAAAACAGAAAAGCAAGGTAGAAAGAATTTTGTGAGGGCCATGCGTTATTATTTCAATATTCTAATTTTATTTAATAAGAACTGGTATCATCTGCTATATCTGTAACATCTAGAATCATATACACACTTGCAAAGGGAAATGTGGAAAAGAGATGAGTTTCTTTTGCTCTGGTTTCAGACACTGGAGTACTTTAGGCTGATACTACTTCAAGGAAAGCAAATAGATCAGTGCCATCACTTCCTGCTCCCAAGCCCATGGCAGACATTACCAATCAGCCACAGACTCATCTTCCAAGCCCTAATGTGGCTTCAGCATCCTTCTTAGACTTGTGTCCCAATGAGCTGAAACCTATTTGCCATCCTTGGCCTTGTTTATATCGAGAAAACAACCACTTCAACCACATAGAATGTTCCAGATAAAACATAGTAGCTACCTTTCTTTAAAAGCAACCAACTTCTAGTTCCTTGGAACTCCCCCTACCCCTTCTTTCCAACACAGGCTTATATTTTAAGTTTAGGGACAGAAGTCATCAATGAAAGGTGGTACAATTGGCAGGTCTGAGAAATACACTTTCCCATAGATTCCTCAAAAGGCTCTCTTTGGGCTTTCCAACACAGAGAGAAAGGGGCCCTCAGTCCAGGACGTGGCCTGTAGAGAAGGCCCCTGATACCCTGTGAGACACTTACCCAAGCCCGCAAGCTGAGAGGAGAGAGAAGATGGGGCTGCCGTGTTGCCCACCATTGGGCTCACCACGGCTGGAGACCCTGGCCCCAGGTCTATTAAGTTGTCTTCGGTCACTTCGTTCAGTACCTGCCAGCACATGAGACAGCAGTGAGCCCCAGAGCACCTGTGTTGGGCTCCTGGGTAAAAGCCAGCGGGCCCTGTGCAGGATGCCTGAGGAAAAGCACCAACACTGCAGCAGTCCAGGAACATGGCAGTTCTCCCTGTCGAGACTTTAGGGGTCCACGGTGGCCTGGCTCTTAGCAAGCCCCTGCCTACTGCTTCCCCCACCTAAAGGTGGTGGGGCTGAAGTGGTCACAGGACAGTTGCTGCCCCAAGAGCTGGGGACTTGGGGTTCAGTTGCCACCCTCCCACCAGGAATGTGCCTGCTAGCTCTTTGGCTGTATCCCATCAACCAGAGCTTGCTCTTTCATTACCTAAGTTTTTTTTTTTTTTTTTTTTTTTTTTACAGTAAACTCAACTCCTAACATGGGACTTGAACTCATGACCCTGAGATCAAGTCACCTGCTCTACAGACTGAGCCAGCCAGGTGTCCTTAATGATCCATATATTTAAGCTCGAGTTAGAAGACCTAGAAGTGAGACCACACTGAGGTAGGTCTCCCAGCACCCACAGATGAGAGAATGCTAAAGGAATACTTACTCCATTACTGGCATTTTGAACCGATCGGCCTGACCTGTATCGTTCAAACCTAACAGGGGAAGGAAAGCGGTTAGTAAGGAGAGGGATGATGTGGCACAGTCATACTCACTGCTCCTGTGACAAGCTCCTGTGGACGGAGGGCCCTGTGAGGCCAGTAGACACTGAGGCTCCAGAAAAGGAAACCAAGGGGGGGCTATTTGGGGGACTAAATTCCCCCCCCCCAACAACTTCACTGCACCTTCCTCTGTGGGTGCTCCCCTGGCAGAGGATCAGCCTCTAGGCTCACCCCAGAGCATACTGAGGTAAAAGTGGAAGGTGTTGGCTAGCACATCCAGGAGGCCACTATAAGCATTCCCAGCTGTCCCCTCCCACTCTGGGCTTAGAGTGCTCCTCTTGCTTGTAGAGCCAGAGGCTGGGACTACCATTTTACCTGAGGGTGGCTCAGGTATCTGCAAAGCCAGACAAGAAGTGCAGCCCCCTCCCTATCTCACAGAGCTGTGCTAAGAGTGATTAGCCTGTGTCACTGAAAGGCCCCCAGCTCAACCTTCTGGAGGAATGGGGCTAGGGCACACACAGGGCAGAGACAGCTAGAGGAAGAAGGTGGACACAGGCCCCTGGCCTGCCCAAGACTCCTCTGCAGCTGTGGATAGGACCTAGCTTGGAGCAACACAGAGAGCGTCTACTCTCCTGTACCCAAATTCCTCTCCCACCAGATAGGGAATACAAGAGCAATGGTGAGGCATGCGTGTGGGCTGCCCTTGCATTTCAAAGTTCCAAAATTCCATGGGCAAAGAAGTAGCTAAGAGACTTTCTCCAGCTAGAGGCTGGAGAAACCAGCCTTTACTGAAGTCTGCTGGGGTCAGTGCCTGGTGAGTAGTGATTCCCCAGGAGGGACAATCTGGTTAGGGGATGTGTGTCCCCTGTGGTGTCAAGAAACACCTGTGTTTTTATGAATCACGCCCTAGAAAGAGAAGGAGAATATTAACACACTTGAGAAGTTTCTAATCCTGGAGTACCCTTCCCACACCGTCTTGGAGGGACAATTAAACTTGTCAAAAATGCTCAAGCTAGAAAATTTGTGCTAAGGCCGGGTGTGGCAGACTCGGGAAAATGCTCACATTAGACCCTGTCTTCCCATCCAAGGAGGGGCTGAAACAGGTTTAACAGGTGAAAGGCCAAGCCCATTTAAAAATGGAGAAACTGGAATCACATGGCAAAATCAAGGGGTCTCAAGCTGGGAATCGAGGCACCCCAGATCTGCTCCTAATCTCCAATGGACACATAGGGCCCCTGGTGGCTCCACATCCTTACTGCAGAGGTTTCTTTGTCTGCTGGAGAGACACAGGACCACCCATCCCTACTCCACAGCTGAAGCTGAGACAAGGCTGGGGGTCCTAACACCCACAGTGAAATCACCCTCTAAACCCCCAGGGACAAGAGTCTATCACACTGACATTAACTGATGCCAGATCATCATGCTGGGAGTCAGCACAGGCACCAGGGCCCCAAGTCTCCGAGGGCCAAGGGTCTCAGACTTAGGAGAAGGTTGGCCTGCTCCAGGTGCTTTCTGGTGCCTTTGCTGGGAGAAGCCCAAGGCACACACACTGGAGTGAATCCATGGGAGCTGTGCCTGCCATTACCTCCTATTGACAACTTCTTCCCCAGGGGAGGCTTTGGAAAAGGAAAAGAATTTTCAAGTTGGTTACCTCAAATCCAAAAATGATTTGGCTGTAGAAAGAACTCAAATGAACGTGTCCATGTGTCTGTGTGTGTGTTTCCCTAAGCAGCAGCATCCGGCACTTATACCCTGCCTTCTTCAGAATACTCTAGACACACTGACATTTGCAAAGGGAGGGAAAAATCTTTTTTTCTTTTTTTAAAGATGGGAAAGAGGAAATCTTTTTTTCCTTAGTAGAGATTTTTTTTTCTCCTTTAATCCTTTTCAAACTCAAAGGATCTTCAAAGGAGCAGGTGTGAACCCCTGGGCCCCAGGGCCCCCGGCCCTCCCTCTGAGGGCCTGGGGGGAGTGGAAAAGGCAGGGCAACCAGAGGCTTGCAAAGGGCAGAGCCTAATTCTGCCTGTCGCCTTCCTGCTGCTTGGAGAATGAGAAGCATTTTCCCTGTCAGCCGGGAACAAATTAGCATCTCTGATGAGCATTTTCCAACTCTCCTCTCCCTTTCCCCATTGTTTAAGAGAGAAATCCTTCGGTGGGCATGAGTCCCTGGGAGGAATGAGAAAGGACCTCGGCCCCACCTCTCGTAGCGGAGGAAGACGTTGTTGAGGTCATCGTTGACATGAAGCAGCTCCTCGGTGACCTCCTCATTGGACACGCGAGAGATGAGCTCCACGATGCGCTGCTGCATGGCCCGGCAGGTCCTGTTCAGCTCCTAGGGAACACACATGCCTCTGGCTAGCCTGCTGGGGACGTTTTTTTGTCATATTCCACTTCTTTGGCAAATCATAAGCCAACTCTTAAAAGTCACAAAAGGAGTGCATGCTTATCCAGAAAGCTGGACATGGGTGAGATGCAAAGTACAAGGCCCCTCTCTCACTGCTTCCTGCTGCCCCAGAGGAAGTCAGCTCTTTTTCAACACACAGAGAAGCGTCCATAGCTATGTACACTCATATGCGTATTGGTACATGTTTGTACAGAATGTTCTTTACATCTAAGAATAGGATTCTTTGCAGCTTGCTTTTTTTCCCTCTTTAACACAATACTCTCAACCACCCTTCCCGCAATGCCTCGTACACCTCCCCCACCCCTCTGTGCATGGATCAGACTGTCTCACGGTGCTTCTATTATTGGGCATTTAGCTTCAGGGTTTTTGGCTAACCCAAACAATGCAGCAAGGAACATTCGTACGCACACAGGCTCCTGTGTTTGTGCCAGTACTTCCAGAGGACAAGCTCTTAGAAGTGGAATTTCTGGGTGAAAGCATATGTGGTCATTTAGAATACAGGCTGGTAATTGGTAATGGCAGAAGACCCTCCAAAAGATGACAGCAGTTCATTTATGCTCCCAGCAACTGAGAGTGTACTTTATGACCACATTTAGGTACATCTTGGTGGCATGTCTGACACACTCAGCAAGCTCTGACATGTCTCCCAGGCTGGCCTAAGAGGACTCTGATGAACCCCCAGTCACCACTGGAGCCCTTTCTACCCTTGGGAGGATTGTCTCCCTGCAGACAGACCCTTACCACTTTATGGCATGGCATTTGCAGGCTTCCCCGGCTCCAAATGGCAGCCTGACTCATACTCTCATTGAAACTTGCTTGTGGAGCTCCCTTAACTACCTGCCAGGGCTTCTTGCCACCCTATATGCCAAACTGGCACTGTAGCACCCCTGACTACCAGAACAGCTTGGGGAAAAAGCTCCAAGCCCCAATGGGGGTGAAGCAGAGAGGAGATGCTATCCCCATCCACCTGGATACCAGAAGCCGCTGATGACCCAGTGAATGAAGGGGATGAAGGGACAGAGCAGAGGTCCTTCTTTCTCACAGTTCAGCCCTAAGACCACTTCCTTGTGAAATGTTTCTGGTAGATGTAACTGCTCTAGATACTGTACACATACATGACCTCTTTTCAGCTCCTTATTTTGTCTCATAATCCAGCTGGCTTGGCTAGAATTAGGTTTCCCCTCCCACTAGATCATAAACTCCACAAGGGAGGTGCCATCACTTCTTGCCCCAGGAATGCCCCCAAGCCCTACAGTAGGCCACACACAGGGAAAAGGCCCAGTCATCACCTGCAGGGTCAACCACAGAGGTGGCTAAACGCACACCAAGGAATTCTGGTGCCCAACAGTGTCCTGCAATACTGCGCTCACCACACAGGGGCATTACGGCTGGGCTCCTTATCTGCCTCCCCCTCTATACTGGGGCTCCTTGAGGGCAGAGCTGGCATCTCTCGTCCCTGTTTCTGCAGTATCCATGACTGACACTTAGGAGATACTCCCTAAATGCTTTGGAGAGAATTAATGAATGAAGGTAAGTTGCATTTCTTCCATCCACATCTTATCCAAGGTACCTAAACAATGTTCCTTACACAGTTGTGTGCATACCCACATACACATGCACAAACACCCCTCCTTCATCACCGGAGGACAGTGAGTGTCCTGGGCTTGATCCTGCAGGTAAGAGCCATGGAGTGATCTTGACAGACCTGCCCATTCCAGAATAAGTAGATCATGACCAATCAGACACCAAGTGTGGACACTACTTCTGCCATCACTCCTCCCCTGGCTGCTCAGCCTGTGGGAGGCTCCTTCCCCAAGAGCAGGGGCAGCTGAGGAAAGCAGCCGGACCCACATGGGTCAGCCCAGAATCACCCCACCACAACAGTAGCTGTCAAGACAGAAGGTTTCTAGATTTAGGCAGCTGCATCCAAAATAGTCTGGTGTTCACCGGAAGCAAAAAAGCTTCACTGGCGATTCTCTGGATTGCTGGGCCCTGTCTATCTGGTTATGGAAATACCAGGCTTGTCCTGGTTCTACCCTGTTGCTGGTCCTCTGCACAGCCAGAATGCTGCTGTCAAGTCTCTCTTGGCCATAGGGACAGTGTCTGGACCTTCTAGTTTTTTCTATGAACAGATTCCCACTCTTGATTCTCCCAGGACTCCCATTCTGGGTTGGAGAGAAGGCAGGGTGATCCTGGAAGGAGAGGGCTGCCAGCAAATCATAGGATAGTCACAATTCTCTCCCTACCCCTGACCTGGTGCCTCCAGGTACCAGCTGTGCCCTGGCCACATCAGCCCCGGTGGAGACTAGAATCCCAACCAGCAGGTGTCACAGAGGAGGGGAGCTCAGAAGCAGGCTGAGGCTGGAGGAAGAAGGATGGAGACCTTAAATCTACAGTGCTCTGAATCCTTGGTCATGCAAATGACCAGCTCCCCACCACTGTCCTTGCTCAGTATCTAGACCACCTTAGCCTTCTTCCTGACCCTCTCTCCACTCAGGTCATGATCCCAGAGTTCTGGGACAGAGAACTGAGGCTTAGGGCCTAGGGCTCTTTGCTAAGCAGGGAGCCTGCTTCTTCTTTTCTGACTATCCCCCTGTGTGTTCACGCATTCTCTCCCTGTCAAATAAATAAATATATTTTTAAATTAAAAAAATAACAAATACCAAAAATTAATTGCATAGAACATCATATCCAGTAGAGAGTGAAATATCTCAAAATCTCCACTCTCCACCATTCTGAACAGCTCATACCCCAGGCCAGCCATGAGAGGTATATTTGGGAGCCGGCCTAGAACTTGGAGCCTGGCCAGAACTCTGTGATGGATTGCCACAATAACGGCCATGGATGCTGGTAGACACTCACAGGTCAAATCCAGTCACTGGAGGGACAGTCAGAGTATACAGGAAAGCCAAAGGTCCAGCAGAAACCCTAATTACAGGAACAAGCTATGCTCATGAGTGAAGGCTAAAATGAAAAACGAAACACAAAAGCCCACACAAATGAACTCATGAAAAAAGCAATCACATTAGATCATGGGAAGGATTCCAACAGCCAGGACTGAAGTGAACAATGCAAAAAATCGTAGTATTTATGATACATTGTTAGAGTGCAGGGAGCACCTGTGCTTAGGGCAAGTAAGGGAGCATGGATATGGATTAACTTTAGAAGACCAACCCCCATTAACAAAAAAAACAAAAAACAAACAACAACAACAACAAAAAAACCCCGACATTTGGCCATTCTTGGACAGCAGATCTTGCCTAGTGCTTTGGAAGACACACTGGCAACCAGCCAAAATGTGCGGGAACAGAAGAATGGGAAAGACAGCCTGGGGACACAGGAGGCTGGGTAGTGGACAGCAGGAAGAGACATGGTGCCTGTCTCTCTGCAGGCTGCCACGATGATCCCTTCCTGGGCCACTCTGAGTGTCACTCTCTCTTCCTGGATGTGCATGTGTCTCGTATAGATGAGATAGACCAGCACTCAAAGTCTCTGCAAAAAAAACTCTGATGAGCAAAAGGATCTTGAGCCCAAAAGGATCTTGAGCCCACTCCTTCCCACCTCAGCCAGGCCCGGGTCAGGGAAGTGTGGCCTGTCTGGTGTTCGTGACCAAACAGCAAGCCCTGGTTCCCTAGGGCTGGGGAGGCTAAGGTTAGAGGTCAGTGACTTCCTATCCAAACTGCAGGCCAATTCTAAGATGGAAAGAGGTCCTAGGCCACCCTGGCAGAAGCTGGCAGCATCAACTCCCAGGGCCATACGCCTTTTCCAAACATACTTCAGACTTTCTAGAATAGCAGATGGCCTCAGGTACTAGCTCTTACTGCTCAGGAAAGCTGAGAAGTCAGCCCTCTGCCTGCCATGTTCCTCTGCTCCTCTTCCATCAAAACAAATTCCTACTCATCCTTCAAGGTCCTGGAATGTTTCCCCATCCCAATGTTCAATCACAAAATTTTCAAATGTAAAGAAAAGATTTTAAAATATTATAGTAGATCCCATGTACCCAATATGATTCCACCTACCATTAACATTTTACAATGCTAGCTTACCATGCAGCTACCCAGCTATCCAACTCTTTGTCCCCCTAGAATATTTCCTGGGGACTCCCCTCAACCTCTACCTCTTCAAGACTGCCACAGCACTCTGGACATACCTCTACTCATTGCTGCTGCCCCAGGTCTCCAGTGCTCCTCCAGCAGAGCCTCTGGCTTGTTTATCTTCAATAAATGATGATGAGCCCTTACGCCCCCACCCCAATCAGTGGAAGGCTGGAAAGAAAGAGTAAGACGCATGGAAGTCCCCCAGAGTCAAAGGAAAACCAAACCAGATCCCTCAGAAGACTGCAGGGAGTGTCTCAAAAACATGGCTCCAAATGTCCAAAGCACCAGAACCACTAGCCAGAAAAGGGGAGGGGGCTGCATTCAGTCTCCCCCAGGAGCCCAGGCCCTTCTGGATGCTGGGAACCAAGTGGCAGCCAGCCAGCCAGCAGCCATGTCTAGATCAGCTCTCCAGCACCCTCTGGGCCTATCTCTCCCTGGGTAGGAAAAGGGGGATCAGAAAAGTGGTGACATTCTGCAGAGGGCCAGTGAGGTGCCTCCATGGCATGGGGTTAGGGACACCCCACCCTATGGCAGCCAGGGCAGCTCTGCTTTTATCTCTTCAAACATTGCAGTTCTCTGTAGAATTTTATTTGTGGGGAAAAGGGTCGGACTACTTTAAAGAAATGTTTGGAAAGTACCAGATGATTTCTGCTAGCTCTAACATTATGACTTCAGCGTGGAGGAAGAATGAGACCCCAGGGCACAGAATGTGGTGAGCTCACGGACCATAAGCACCAGAAACATCTGTTTTGTCCTTGCACTTGCTACCTCTTCCCCACAGCCTTCAGCTGGGGCACTGGGTGAGATGACCTCCAATCCATAGGCACAGCCTCACATGCTCTGATCCCAGAGGGTCACCCAGAGGACTGTAAAAAAAAGTTTTGCTTAAACTTGTCTGCCCTAGAGTTTCCAAATCAAGGATATCCCAGGGTGTCTGCCGAAAGTTTTACCATCTCCTTCCTTCAAGCTTTAAAGTTACTATCTTTTTTTTTAAAGATTTTATTTTAAATAATCTCTACACCCAACATGGGACTCGAATTTATAACCCCAAGATCAAGAGTCTCACATTCCACTGAATGAGCCAGCCAGGTGCCCCTAAGTCATCATCTTAAAAACAAAAAAAAATCAGACAGTGAGAAAAAAGACATCAAAGAGAGGAGGAGGACCAGTGTGTTGAGATTTTGCCACCAAATACCAGCTGGCCGCCTGCAAGACCTCCATGGGGTTACCCGCAGCCAGATCCATGGTGGGTGCAGTTGGGAGACCTTCCTCAGCCTACCTCCTCCTCTAAACCAGCCACACAGAGCGACTTTCTTCTGGTCCTGAGTCATGAAGGCACACTGCTTACCCCAGTCATCCTTCCCACTGTGCAACAGCCAGGACAGGCATTTCCTACATGCTGAAGATTTCGGCTTTGGCCTCCTCCTAGGTCCAATGGTTCTCAACAGAGGGAAAGAACAGCTGGTTAGCGTTCTTTGTACAAAAGCCCTCCACCGATCAGAACATATTAAAATATCCTCTTTCCATCTAATTAATCCCAATGCCTTTATCTTTTCTTCAAGGGACATTCTTATCCCCACCTCGCAAAACAATCTTTTAATCATCCTTACAGGTTTCCTCTGAACCTTCTCCAAGATCTAAGGAACACGGAATAAGGTCCTGAAGATCTGCTTTCTATAGCTGCAAAGGAAGGGGGAAGGAGAAGAAACTCTTTGTGGAAGAGAAGTGGGAATAAGAAAGCTAAACATGTAGAATAAACTAGATTTCTCTAGAGAAAATGGTCCTGGACATCCCTGTTGAAACGAGATGCGAGAAGCAAGAGGGGATATACCATCTGCTACTTGAAGAAACAATGTGGAGGAGAGCTTCTTTTATTATCTGATGGATGGCCATGCAGGAATGCCCAATTTTGGCATCACTGGATTAATTAAAAGTTACTATTATTTGAAGACAAAGCTCAAGAGGCTAATTTAGGAGAGTACTGGACAACAGCCTCAAGATCTTTCAAGACTTCCAAAACTGGATTCACAGGCTGAAGACATAGATGCAGTCTCAAATTTCAGGCCTGATCCCAAATGCCCACACACAGGAGAGGAAAGATATGGCTTACTAGCCCCATGAGAAAAAAATGAAAGGTTTTAGGTTGATGGAAGCTCTGGATTTTTGTGGCCTCCTGCTGAGAACTGCCAGGTCATCCAAAAAGGTGGGCTGCCAACATAGACTTAGCCCGTGGCAGGCTTATAGCAGTCTTCAAATATTTAAGGACCTACCTTGTGAAAGAGGACTTTGGTTCTTTTGTTAAAGACAGACCAGGGTAGCAGTTATAGGAAGACAGACTTTAGATTGCTGTATAGAAGGATGTACCAATAATAATCACAGGAGCTCCAACCTCTGTATGAGCTGCCTGTGCCTGGCACTGTACCAGCCACCCCAAACGGACATTTAAAAAAATATATTTTATTTATTTATTTTAAGAGAGAGAGTGAGCATGAGCAAGAGGATGGGGAGGGGGAGAGGGAGAGAGGGAATCTCAAACAGACTCTGCCAAGTGCAGGGTCCTATTCAGGGCTTAATCTCATGACCCTGAGACCATGACCTGAGCCGAAATCAAGAGTTGGATGCTTAACTGAGCCACACAGGCACCCCTCAAATGGATGATTTCCATCCTTCCAAGGTGAGTGTGATCACTCTGGGCTGCCCAGTTATCACCCAGCCCATCAGTTGTTGGGCCTGGATGTGAACCCAGAGGTTCTTTCTGCCCTCCTTTGGTGCTTCCCAAAGTCTAACCAGGACGTGCATTTCTTTTTATTTGTTTTAAAGATTTTATTTATTTGAGAGTGAGCCAGAGAGCCTGAGCAGGGTGAGAGGTAGAGGGAGAAAAAGACCCTGTACTGAGCAGGGAGCCTGATACGGAGCTCAGTCCCAGGACTCCTGAATCATGACCTGAGCCAAAGGCAGATACTTAACCAACTGAGCCACCTAGGTGCCCACAGGACAGGCATTTGGAAAGGGGAGTGCTTCCATGGGCTGAAACAGCCTGTCATGACAAGAAAATGCTAAGTAAAATGAGGTGAGCACACCAGGTAACATGCTGTAGATGGAATCTGAACACATGTGTGGAGCTGGACTAGTTGCCTAGGTCTGTCCCAGCTCAGGGAGTGGAGGGTTCCGCCTGGCACACAGCATTCCCTCTGGGCACCCTGCCTCAGTTTTCCTCAGGGTCTACAGCTAAGCGGACAGCACAGCACAAGGAGTAGCTCTCCAGCGCCACACCTGAGAGTGCTCTGCGAGGCCCAGGAAGCAATCGGGACATGACCACCTATGATAGTGGTCCGCCACACTGGTGCATCCTGGAGCTGACACCTCCAATTCCCTCTCCTTGCATTCCTTCCACCTCCTACCCAGCAATTTATACTCGAGTCGGGAGCAGCTTCTGTTGGCGTGAACATTTGGGCTGGTGACAAACAGGTTTATTTCCATGGCCCTGGCCAGCGTGGTGAGCTCTGGACAGCTTCTACCCCGAGCAATCTGGCTGCCCTCCAGCTCAACCGAGGGGTTCTTGGGGCACATTCTAATCCCATCGCTTTCCAAGCAGCTGGTATCATCTTCTCATGTGGAAGTCTCGCTGTTTGGGATGGCCCCAGCCCTTGGGAGCCCCTGCTCAGCTGGCCTCCTGCTGGCCAGGAAGACGAGGAGGGAAGATGTCAGAGATGATGGAGGAGCAAGGCCAGGAGCCAGCAGGACCGTGGCCGTTCACACAGAGCTGCCTGATTCCTGAATCTCCCGTGCTGAAAGGCCAGCCTCCCACTGGCACCCAGAACCATTCTTTCTCTGTTTGATTTATAAGATACCAGGGAGGGCTGGTAGGCTTGGAGTTAGAACAAAACAGAGGGAAGGAAAACGTCATGGGAAGCAACCTATTTTTGAAAACTGTGAGCTGACGCCAGGAGATTAGGTTCTGTTTGTCTTGGCTGATGGGCTTGTTTAAACACACACACACACACACACACACACACACACGCACGCACACACACACACAGAGTATGCTTGCTGTCTGGGTCTGCTCTGGCTGTCTGGAAGCATGTTGGCTTTGTTCAGCCCACCCCTGCTGCCAGGAGCTCAGCTCTGTCCACTGCAAACCCCCTGTCAGCAGGAATTCTGATGCTGACACAGCACAAAGCTGCCTCAAGAGGCCCTCTCAGTTTCTGGATTGTTTCTGGACTGATCTGATTTCTACATAGCAGCTAATGTCTGGAAGAACTCCCCCTGCAGGCTGGGAACAGGGGTCAGTGGTGCATTAACAGGATGCTGAGTCCCCTAAAGTGTGGCACTTGGGCGCTAGACCCTGCTGAGCAGAGGCAAGACTGGACTGCTGCAGGTGTTAAGAGTGAGGTCTGGAAAAAAAAAAAAAAGTGAGGTCTGGGAGAGGCCACTCCGGGCTCCTTATTTGGGCTGGCTGAGGGTACTCAGCTTGGCTTTAAGAGCAACCTGACGTCATGGCTTCATGGAGATGAGCTGTTTCCTGTCTGCCTCCTGCACTGGGTTAGGGGCTCCTTCAGAGCCTGGACCACACTCCACGTACCTCTGCTTCACTCTGGGTCAGGCCCAGGGCAGGTCTCCACCCACCCTCATTCCTAAGAAGGAAGAGGGCATAACAAGAAGCATTCTGGGACCAGGCATGGTCACTTTGGCTATGTGCAGTGTGGAAGGCTGCAGTCATCAGAGTCGGGCCCTCATAGGCTGCAAGTGTATGCCAATAGCAGGGTGGGAAGTATGGCACTTGGGGGACCAAGACTGAGGACTGTGAATGCCAGACAAGAAGAGCGGCAGCAGGCACGTGGCAGTGAGGCACTCTCACCAGCTCGCCAAGCCAGTCTGGCTCCTGACCTGTTTACTCAAGCATCTTGCCTTCTGTTGAAGAGATCTGGCACTTGCAGCTTATAGCATCCTTTCTCCACCCCTCCAGAAGGTCACTGCTTCTAAAGGCAGTGCTGCTGCCACTCTCTACACATGCCAAAGTCATCTGAGACAGCTGTGGGGGAGATCTGGTTGCAAGCTCTGTATCTGGCTGGCCAGGATCCCTGACTCTGGTCTGAGGGTGACCCCATAGGCCAACCCTGCTCCCGGGCCCCTTTCTGCCGTGCCCCCCAGATCTGCAAGGCATCCAGGGTGTGGGGAGGCCAGCTGGCAACAGATGCTCAGGAATCATAATATGGCCAACCCCAGCCTGGAATCCTCAGTATGCAAGAAAAGAAAAGCTTCTACTTCCTCTCTGTCTCAGGACCATCTTGGGGGGTAAAGTGTGGCCACAAGGTCTCCGGCATGCAGGAAAGGTTGATGAGGTCCTGTCATAAATGTTTATGACATAGTGTTGAGAAAGCAAATTGATATGCAAAACTGTACAGATAATAGGACCTCAATTACATTCGAAATGAAAACAAACATGGAAAAAAGTCTGAAAGAAAATGCATCCAAACTTCCACAGTAGTTATCTATCTCTGGGTGCTGGAATCCAAGAAAATGAGTATTTTCTTCTTTATACTTCTTTTTGCTTTTGATAGGCAGGCGTTCTGCAACTGGCCTTTTATAATCAGGGAGAAAAAAAATGTTACAAAGGAACATAAACAAGAGGGCCTGGTACTGGCTTCTGACCCGTCCCAGGAAGCATGAGGTTGAGTGCGAGCCTACAGGGCTCCGGGCCCCACTCCTGCCTCACTGGTGTACCCCCAGGTCCACAGCTTCTACAGGATGAGCATCCCCCATCCCCTCACCTGCAGCAACTCCAGATCAGATGAGTCCTCCTGCCCAGGGACCATTTCTGTTAACATTTCGGACATGACTTTTGTGTTTCCTCGAACAACGTCCAGTTCACTCCGAAGCCTGGCAATCTGTTGGGCAGGGAAGTGAGGAGGAAAGCAGGGAGCAAAGGGTCAATCAAGCTGCACCTGTCTGGTGACAGTCCCATTCACTGCGACATCAAGGTCACGCCTCTAAATGCTCATCTCTAAATGCTCGGCATTAGAAGGCTTATTGTCTCACTCTGGTCTGTGTGTGAGGGTGAGGGAGAGAAGAGAATAGGACAGCAAGGCCCAACCTACGGGGTGTTGGTTACCAAGAGTTTGTCACAAGTGACTCTGCCAGGAAAGAGTGCTGGGTCTGACATGGACAGAGCTGGTTTGTGGCTCAGCCCTCCCACCACAGAAACTTGAGTGGGGAGTTCATCTCTCTGGCCTCCATCCCTACTTGAACTTTCAAGTGAAAGTGATAGAGCAGGGGATCCCTGGGTGGTGCAGCGGTTTAGCGCCTGCCTTTGGCCCAGGGCGCGATCCTGGAGACCCGGGATCGAATCCCACGTCAGGCTCCCGGTGCATGGAGCCTGCTTCTCCCTCTGCCTGTGTCTCTGCCTCTCTCTCTCTATGTGTGTGTGTGACTATCATAAATAAATAAAAAAATTAAAAAAAAAAAAAAAGAAAGAAAGTGATAGAGCATGTGATCCCCAAGGGCCCTTCCGGGCTGGGGTCTTCATCGGGAACCTCATCATTACAGATGCTGGCCCCAGGGATTTATATTCAAAGCACTATGGTCCTCAGAGGGGCTGGCCAGTGTTCCCTGGACTTCTCTGGTGTGGCAAGAATGAGGGAGAGGGACAAGAGAAGACCTGGGGGAGATCCCCTCCCACCCCAGCTCCCTACCTGCTCATCCATCAGAGCTCCCCAAAGCCTGGGCCTGGGCCATCTTTCCTGCAGTAGGGACACCATAAGGGATAGATCTTAACCTATCTGAGCCCCAGTCTCCTCAGGTACAGAGAGGGGAAAACGATGCCTACACCTCAGGGTTGCTAGGAATAACTGAAGTGAAGACCCTACACAGTGCTGGCACCCATGCACCTAGGACTCACCCAATCCCTTTCCTAGTAAATATCCAGAGAGCTGGATTTTGTTATGGCTCTCAATTGCATTTTGACCTGGCTCAAATGACACCTCTTGTCCTCACTTAAGCCTTTTCTGACTCTCCCCTCCCCCTTCTCCGAGGCAGAAACAAGCAGCCCACACACCCCATCCTGTCCCACCTGCCCTGGGGCAAGGACTCTGCTGAGTCCAAGTAGGGACTCTCAGCACAGGGATAGGGACAGGAGGCCTCAATAAATCTGTGCTGGATAGACAAACAAACAGACAAATGGTCAATGAGGGCATTGGGTTAGGTCCCGAGAGACTCTTTTCCCTCTGGTTCTGACTGGTGGGTGAACTCTCAAGTCTTAGACAGAAGAGGTTTCTGGCCCTGGAAGCTCAGGGATACGACAGAGACCACATGGGCCCAGAAGCCCTTGGGGTCCTCTAGGCTGGGCTGGGTTCCTACTGGCTGTTTCCATCTTCCCCCAGGGGCAGTACCCATGCCTTCTCGCCCATTCTAGACCCTTCTGGAGGTCTAGACCATTCTGGCTGCTGGGAGGGCTCTTCCGAGCTCCCATGCAACTGAAGAAGAGTCAGTGGAGGGTCTCAGGGACAGTACAACTCCAAACATGTCAGACTTCCCCTTGAGCAGAAAGGGGGACATTGCTGCCCCTGGAAGCAGAGCTCACAGCCTCTGGAGACCTTCTTCCCCAGGGCTTCCCTTCTGGGGACAGGTCCTGGCCGTTACGAATAATGAGAAAGGGCAGAAAGGGCGAATGAAGCCCACAGTTATCGTATGGGCCACATTTTAGCTATGGGTTTTTTTTTTCTTTTTTTAACATTTTATTTATTTATTCATGAGAGAAACAGAGAGAGAGAGGCAGAGACACAGGCAGAGGGAGAGGCAGGCTCCATGCAGGGAGCCCGACGTGAGACTCGATACTGGGTCTCCAGGATCATGCCCTGGGCTGCCCTTAGCTATGGGTTTTAATCTCCTCAGCAGTACTCACAGCACTTGGTGATTACCATAAGGCCTCTCGGGCTGCCTGTCAAGCTCACGACTCTTCATGGGGTGAGAGGGAAGGACTATCGCCCCATTCTACTGACCCAACTGGCTTAAATGACCTGGCTGAAGCCTCACAGTGAGCAGCGGCGCAGGGACTCAAGCCCAGGCTGCCTGACCTCCAGCTCACCTCCCACTGTGCGCCTCCTGGGGCCAGCAGAGAACGGAAATGTGAGCAGCCCTGGCACACTTCCACTAATCACACCTCTTCATTGACCCTTCCGTTTAAATAAGTTTCTGTAACCCTGACATTGTCACAAATATTAATTAAGGATTTAAAATATATAATCACCAGAACAGGTTTTCCCCCCCCCTAAATGTGGTCAATTCTCAAATTTCAACTACTGGAAATTCTATAGATTCATCTAAATACTTGACTCTGTGACTCGTCTATAAAAATCTAGTTTGGGGTTAAAACGGCATTGGCCTCTCAGGAAATAACTCGGGGAAGGTAGGCAGTGTTCGAAATAAAGGCAGGAAGGGCGCTTCCTAAGGGCCTCCCGCATCCTGGCCTCTGCTTCCACGTCACCTTGCTGCTCGCGTCACCGGCCTCTGATGGCTGTGGCTCCTGACAGGATCAATCCAAACCTCTCCGCGTGACTCACAAGGCTGTTCACAATGGAACTCCATCGCTGTGCTTTGGCCTCACCCTTTGTCTCTTAGATCCCACACCTGTACTGATCCTCCAAAACTCTCCACCTGCTGTTCCCTTGAACACTTCGCTCCTCCACGCCTCTGGCCCCAGGCCTTCTCAGACAGGCCTCCCTCACCAGCTTCGAGAGCCTCAGCAGCGCCAGGTCCCAGGTCAACCCTCCAGGCAGTACTCAACTCCTGGCTCTTGCTCCTGCAACTCTGCCACCACTGTGTGGACCGTCTCTGTCTCCCCAGTACACGGAGAGCCCTTGGAATGGGGCCTAGGTCTTTCTGTCTGTGCGCCACTGACACCCTAGCACAGTGCCTGGTGAGGGAAGGTCTCCATATGTCTCCAGAAAGGGTGAACGAGGACTGTCAGCCAACTTGCCTCTGGCCCAGAAGTATGCAAGTACCTGTTCTGAATTGGCCATGATGGGACCAGTCACGCTCAGAGCCGGGGCCTGTGGAGCAGAGGAGTACGGAGCAGGAGAAGGTGAAGAGTAGGAGCTGGCACTCGTCCTCTGCTGCGACTGGGACCTGGGCATGGTTGCGGCTGGATCCACTTCAGGGACGCTCTGGCATGGCAACAACATAAGTCCTCCATTCACTTGGAGTTGTTTGTGCAGCTGGGCCTGGCCCCTACCCCAGCCCGGGTAGCACTTCCTGCCACAGCAGCAGGCAGAGGCTCTACTTCTAACCTGTGAGGCTCGAGGAATCCCTCTGCCCCCTCTGCACCCAGTCTCTCCATCCATGAAGGGCGCAACCAAGGGCTCCTCCCTCTACTTACCTCACAGACTATGAAGGCCCTTCAGAAAGGCAGCACTGAGGGCGCTCTGGGAGAGCTTTGGCCAGGGTTCCCATTAACAAGACCACCTCAGAATCTGAGTGGAGGGGGCCCACTACGAAGTTTTGCTCATCATGAATCCCTATTTGGTACCAGAAGATTATATTTTGGCCTTATGAGTAGACTAATATAAATAGTAATTATGCAATTTACCAAATGTTCTTTGTAATTATAGACACAACAACACTGTTCTGGGTCGTTATTAGATGAATAAAACAGGTTACATTGATTCCACAAACATAGTAAGTGGTTTGGAAGGATCATAATGAGAATAATGCTTTGCAAAGTATAATTTCTGGTGCTTTCCCTCTGAGCATCTCAGATAGCCTCTTGAACGTTAACTGTGATCCATGCAAGAGACCTGCATAGATATTCTGGATTTCTCGTCCCCATTTCAGAGATGGGCAGATGGGGCCAGCAGGCAGTGTGTGCTGGGACAAGGTACATCTCCCAGATCCTGAAGCTTCCTGGCTCTCCCTCCGGGCCAGGGGCTGATTCCCAGCCAATAGAGATACTAGTTTCCAGGATGAAGAGTGTCCATCACTGCATGCTTTTCATTTGGAAGGACAGAGCTGTCCCACCTGGTAAAAGCTTCCATGGTAGGCCCCTAAATGGGCCTTCCCTGGTCTTTGGATTCCAAGGCTGGCAGGATTCAAGGATGTCTGGATATTGCTGAACACTCTTAGCTCAAAATAAAATTTAGATCTATTTGACAGTCGAAAAAAACAAAAGCTGCCCTTTGCTCCATGGTCAGTGACATCATCTAGCTCTTCTGTGTTACCAACAATGAGGTGCTCTGGTGCTCTCAGAGGAAAGATGCCAGCACCCCCACACCACATTCCTGGGGCCTCTGAAAAGCAGGTGCTAGGGCCCTCATGGGATGGATGGCTCCACCCAAGCAGCCATTTCCACAAAAATGTCGGAACTGATCCCTCTATTATATTCTTCCACAGTCAGATGAAAACGGGGGTGGTGGGAGGGGGACGGGACACTGCTGCCACTTAATCACCAGTCAACCAGCTGTCTCACTCCTGCATTCCCCCTTGTTATTAAAAAGAAATGCCCTCAAGCTTTAAGAAAGCGTGATGACAAGCTGAATAATTCAAATAGAGTAGCAGAAGGGTGGTGGCAGTGGCTTGCCTGTTCTGCAATAGGTCTTTCTAGAAAATGCCAGCTGTAAGCTTACCCGCTGTGGTGTGTGTATGGGAGACAGAGCGTCCAAGTCTGCCATGGGAAACTCGACCCCCTTCCTCTTCAGTTCCTCATATATATGCACAACACCAGTGAGGTCAGGGCTGCTTCGAAAGGCATCAGCCCATGCCTGTGAGCAAAGAGAGGGCCTGTTAGGAAGCATTTCTCACCAAAGGGAGCCCAGGTGCTCTCTCAGAGGCCAATGCTCTCTGACACTCGAATGCAAATCACGCTGGCCAAACTCACTCTACTCCCGTTCCCCTCACCAGCTCTGCCACCATGCGACTGGTGAAATGTGGTTTTCAATGGTGCCCTTGAGCATGAACAAAAACACAAAACTTAATCCAGCATGTAGGATTTCCTTGGAGAAGATACGGAGAAATAACACCTAAGCACTGTGGTGGATCCTAAAATGCAGGCAATCACCCTAATCACCAGGAAACCAATTCCTGATGATGTTCAGCCGAAGGGCAAGAAGACATGGCCTCGTTGCTGCACCCGCAGGACACCACGGGGACCAGAGAGCCACGGCTCTGCTCCACTGAGCTCTCAGGGGCAGAGGCAGGAGCCGTAGGCAAACCGAGCAGAAAGGAAAGGTGAAATTGATGTGTCACGGAAAATAAAGGCTAACATGGGGTTTCCTCGGTGGATAGGAGTGTGCAAAGGCAAAAGCTGGAGAGGCCCAGCCGGAGAGGTGAGATGAGGGAGGCCCAGGGGCAGGAGAGCCCAAGCTGCCCACGGTGTCACCGCACATGTGCCCACATGGGAAAAGTGACTGGAGAGCATGACCACTGAAGTCCCTTCAATGAACACACCATGCAGGGAGGAAAAGAACAAACATTTAATAGATTGTCACTTTTCATGAATTCATGAAACTCAAAATTTTTTAAAAAATATTTTGTTCTTTGGAAGTGACAAAATCTTTAGAAAGAAAAGAAAAAAGAAAAGAAAAGAAAAGAAAAGAAAAGAAAAGAAAAGAAAAGAAAAAGATCTCTAAAGGGCTCCCCACCAAATGAAGCTCGTCTCTTCAGAACCATCCTATTACCATATACATACCCAGAGGAGGAGGCACTGTGTCTGGCCCCCACAGTTCTGGTGCCAATTCTGCTGTTGTCACAAGCCTTCGACTGCCTCCCTGGCTCTAGTCATGCGTTCCAACCAATCCTGAGGCAGCCACGGAAACTCTATCTCTAACCAACAGACCCATTTGAAGTTAAAAGGTCAGTTTCCAAAAAGCTTTGCCCGTTCCGACTGATGTGTCCTGCCACAGACATTCCTGTCAGCCAGGCTTCCTTGATCCACTCATTTGATCTGCACACTCAGGGATTTAATGCCCGCTTGAGGCCGGCCTCTCTTGGCCAACACTTCTTCTGGATGCTGAGTGGGGCTCAAGGTGCCTGCAGAGGGCTGTCTGGAATGCCAGCTGGAGAGCAGCAGCCCCGAGGCCTGCCCCCCTGGGGAATGCCCCAGAGCCCTGTTCCCTACCAGCTGCTTCGGTTGCCACCACCAGATTAAAAATCCAGCTGAGTCTTGGGAGACTAGCTTCAAAATGCAGCTCGTATGTTCGTTTAGGGTCTGAGAGCAGGTTTACAGCCTGCTGTGGGAGGCTGGGGAGAAAAAAGCATCACAGTAGTTCCCTGGTTGCTATGAGAGGAAGAATAACTCCAGAGGACCACTTTTCATTTATTTTGCTCTCCATCTCAGCCAGATCTGAGATAGAAAGAATGGGGATTAAAGAGCCATCACTGTGCTCTCCGGGCAGTGGATACTTCTTGGGGCACCTGCCCCAACAGCAAGCCAACAGACCCCCCTTCTCCTGTATTATGCCTTCTATGGCAGCAGGAGGAAAATACACATCCCAAGTTGGGCCACACAGCTTCCCCTCCTCTCTGGAGCTTAGCCCTGAGCTTGGGGAAAGCTGGGCCCCCTCTCTGGGTAGGTGACGCTGTCCTCTATAGATGCAGGCACTGTGAGGCAGCTGCATGCCCACTGGGGATTGAGGAGCAGAGACAGCCTATGTTGTTGGAAGGTATAGCCGGTGTGCTGAGAGGTACAGCCAAGAGAAGATGTGGAGGGCTTTCCTGATCCCTTCAGTCCCTTTCCCCAGGTCCAGTTACACCCAGGATCCTGGGAAGCCCATCCTTGTCATGACAAACTGTCCTCTACCTAGGCAAGCTGGAACTGGCATTTGTTATCTGCAACCAAGCAATCTTGGCTAATCTACTCCCTTCCCGATTGTTACTATTTCAACCCCTGTATGGGACCCCTGTGCAGTCTGGGTGAAGTGGCTGTTAACAGAGCATATGTTCATGGCAGCATTCTCTACTGAAAAAGATTCTGATGCCAATGGGGAGCGGGGGGGGGGGGGCACCTTTAAAGGAACAGTCCTAGGGACACCTGGGTGGCTCAGCTATTTAGCTCCTGCCTTCAGCTCAGGGCATGATCCTGGAGTCCCAGGATCGAGTCCCACATCAGGCTCCCTGCATGGAGCCTGCTTCTCCCTCTGCCTGTGTGTCTCTGCCTCTCTCTCTCTCTCTCTCTGTCTCTGTCTCTCATGAATAAATAAATAAAATCTTAAAAATAAAATAAAATAAAATGGAACAATCCTAAATGGAACAGTCCTAAATGGAAACACAGAATTGGGATAAATCCAGAGACGCTGTGCTTCTCTCATCTTCCTGGCACAATGCCCAAATACCTGTGTTCCAGTCTTTTCCCCACTAGGTCATACCTTTGAAGGCACACATTGAGTCCCGCCCTTGCACAGAGAAGGCAGTCAGTCATCAATTGTCAAGTTAGATTGAATTCAGACCTCACAGTTACTAAGCATCTTTATTGTCCTACTTTGGAGAACATAGGAAGATGGCCAGTTAAGCTGTCCCCAGACTGAGGTGACAGTGACAAAGCAGGAGCCCCTCTGGACAGCTGACCCAGCTGAGATTTGAGAATCTGCTCTAGGGGAGAGATGGCAAACGTCAGGAAGTGTGGTTCACTCCGGGTCCCCAACCTAAAGCCAGGGAGCCACAGGGGTGGTGCCAGCAGGCTGCCCTACGGGAAAGTAAAATGACACAGCAGTGCTGGCACTCTCTGAAGGACCCCTGTCACAGGGCCTGGCTGACTAACAACAGAGTGACCACCTCACTGCTCTTTATGTAACTCTCCTTTTTTCCAAGCATGTCTCCAGTGTTAAGGGGCTGAAAGACTCAGATGAAGGTCTAATAGAGAGAAAAAGGAGAATTTCCTGTTTTCTCCTTACTCCTTGGGAATTGAACACCAAACCCCAGACTGAGATATTATACTAACATGAATCCTATCCTATTTGCTTCTATTTCCCTCAAGTTTTCACAAAGTTTTAAATCATCAAATTTCAGATTGATGAATGACTGCTGATTTAGATTATGGGTTCCATTCTTCGGCTCCTGCCATGTTCTGCTTATGCCCCTGGACCAGATTTCCTAGTCCCAGTGACAGGGTCTCCAGGGAGCTTGCCAGTCCACACAGAACCTGGCCAAAGACCAGGACACCAGGTCTCTAACACCTTTCAAGAATACAACACCTCCAGCTCCTCCTGCCCCCACCCCCATCTCAATCAGCTCACTTTCCTCAGTGGAAAGAAAAACCTTCAGTGGAAATAGGGTATTTTTAGACTCTACTGCTAGGAGGCAGGGGGTGGGGAGGCAGGTTAAGAGGCAAGGGGGAGGGAGGCAGGAGAGGCATGACCACCACGAGGTTACCCTACCAGGATGGTATCATATCTGTTTCTGAAAGCAACTGCAAGCTGAAAGCTGAAGGATGGCACAGAGTACAAGTGTTCTTGTCTCCTCAACAAATGGGACTTCACATGAAGAAACAGGCACACAGCTAAAGGCTAGCCAGGGAGCAGGTGAGACGCAGAGCAGGGGCAAAGGTGGCAGGCACTTCAAAGGCTGGGAGGGAGAAAGTGGGCAAGCTGCTCACCAGGCTGCCCTGCTCTCAACGTCTCTCTTCTCTTGCTGCCAGAGAGACCAGCTCCCTTCCTGAAGGGCAAAATCCTGCGCAGGGAAACCCACTGGGCCCTCACACCTGAGTCAAGTAAATGCTTCCAACTGCCCTTCCTCACAGCTTGTGTGCTAGGCTCGGGCTGGGGGAGGAGGGCAGTCTTCCCCAGATGTTCTGAAGCACAGGGCCTCTGGAGTACACAAGCCTAAGGGTGTCTCTTTTGGGGAGTCTGGGGGAGATGGGGCGGCTATGGATGGCTAGAGCACAGCCAGAGGATCCAGATGCTTCCATGAGAGGAGGGATGGAATGTGGGGACAAGGGATAGGCATCCACTGATTCTCTTCAGAGAATCCCCTAGAGGGCTGCTGATGGCAAACATGTGCCAGTGGAAATGGCCAAGGCCCCTGTGTGGCCAATCTCAGGCTGACAATGCCTGTGATCAGCATCCCAGGAAAGCAATCAGAAGGCACGGTGGGCTAGAAGCCAGGAGGACATGCAAGGACAAGCATCCATTTCCCTCTAGGCACAGAGAGACCTGTCAGAAAAGCTGGTATGGAGACAGACCCCCTCTCTGCTCTCACTGTAAGGGAGTAAAATCAAAGGGACAGTGAGCTCAGGCCGATGCCTGGTAATCAGAGCCACAGGTCCCACCTTTAAAGGAGCTCCAACCATGTTTCTTGGGTCAGAGATGGGGGTAGGGGTGGAGTGCTTCTCTAATTCCTTAGCCTTAAAATATTTGAGGCTGCCCCTCAAATATTCCAAAGCCAGTTCAAGTCCTCCCTGGGTAGGCCCTGGCCCTCTATCAGCTGCAAGCCTGTTTCTCCAAAAAATCACCAGCTCCCCAGGGGCAGGGCTGGGACTGGCCTGGTTCCACTTCCTGGCAGCTGGGATCTGAAGAGCACCGAGAAGTATCTGGATGACAAGGATTATGAGGAAGAAGCTGCCATGGCTCTGGCACCCACACATTTAACTGAACCTCTTTTCAGTCTAGCTGCATTTCTCTGATGGCCTGCTGCCTACTCACAGGCTGGCAGGAGGGCCAGGGATCTGTCGCCTCCATCCCCACTCTAGCATCATGGCAGGAACAGCACCTGCCCTCCCCAGGGGAGTATCAGACTCTTAGGGGAGCCCACCCAGTCTTAAAAGTATATTCAACAGGTAAATAAAATCATCCGCTTTCACCAAAGAGTTAAGAACAGGTTGACAAGATGTAATATGTCCACATACTCATCAGATGAGCTTTCACGAGGATGCGTTGGTGAAAATGTTATGCAACTGAAGTTTTTGCGTGCTGGCAGGAAAGAATGGCAGGTCCTCACTGGTGTAACCAATAAACTGGAGCTTGGCCATGCCCCACCACCCAGCAATTCCACTCCCAGCTATGCGGCTGACCCACATGAAACCACTAATATTTTACCATTATTCACCAACAAAGATGGCAGTGTCACGTATCTGAATTAATACAGATCTAACAGAAATGAATACACATGCTCACCACAAGACACCTCCTAGATGTTCACAGCAGCATTTTTTATAATGGCTCCAAACTGGGAACACCAAGTCCTGAGCATCAGTAGGAAGGATAAACAAACCATGGCACATTCACCCAGAGGGACCTGGGCACAGTGATGTGAACAAGGGGAATGGAAAGCCTATGGCCATACCCAATGATGACGTGAGGCCTGCAAATAAGGTGCGGCCAGACACACAGACATAAGAGAGTGCTCATTGCAGAGTCCACACAGGGCAAGTTCAAGAACAGGAAAAATCCATCCCAGCTGTGAGGCGAGGTGATCCCCCCAGGAGATGGGGGGCCTTTTTGGGTGCAGGTCATATTCTGCTTGATGACACAGGGGCTGGTTTAGATGGGTATATTTGGTTTGTAAAATCTTATCACATTGTACATGCGAGTTTAATGTGTGATCTCCTGTACATATATTAGAATTCAATAAAAAGGAAAGAAAAGGCTGAACATCCTATTTGTTCTTTTGTCCAGCCCATTACAGAAGCCATCTGCCAACTCTGAATGCTATCAGCTTTATACTGTTGGGTGGCCATGACCAAAGACAAAAGTTCTTTAGGAAGTTTCAAAACCTGGAGAGGAGAACCCTCCCTGGGCAGGTAAGCAAGGCTACCCAGAACTACCCTTATCCAAAGCCCTTGGTGTTTTCCCAGCTGGACCAGGTGACTGTCCAGTGCATCCTGGTGGGACAAGGAGCCTGCAAGGCCCTCAGGGGCCCATCCTGCTCCAGCCCCTGCAGGGGGGCACACATGCTGCTGCCATAGGTTGTGCTACTCACAACATGGGTACCAACCACTGCAGCCACCATGGGCTGATCTAAGACTCCAGACTGGTGCTGCCATAGGTTGTGCTACTCACAACATGGGTACCAACCACTGCAGCCACCATGGGCTGATCTAAGACTCCAGACTGGGAGTAGAGAGCAGGGACACAGGTCTCCACTTTACAGATAAAGAGGTAGAAGCCCAGAGAAGTTAAAATACCTGCTGAAATTACATAGCTGGGAGAAGCAGTGCTGAGAGTAGGCAGTGACCCTGACAGGACAGCCATAGCCAGTACACAAGGCTCTCCGTGGCTTCAGCCAGGGAGCCCCCCAGCCAACAGGGGCAGGGCAGATCACAAGCCTAGCCATGGCCGTGCTTGACAGGGGTGGCCAACCACCCACCGGGCCTGGCCCCAGGAAGTGCTCCTTCCAGGTGGAGGAGGAGGTGGTTTGTGTGTGTGTGTGTGTGTGTGTGTGTGTGTGTGTGTGTGAGAGAGAGAGAGAGAGAGAGAGAGAGAGGAGGAGGAGAGAGAGGGAGAGACACTGAGACACACCAGGTTTGTACCCGTGGGGGGGGTGGGGAGGGCGAGACATGGAGACACACCAGGTGGGCAGAATGAAGAGATAGGGACCACCTAAGGAAACATGGAGGGGCTCTGCTATCACCCATACTCCTCCCCTTAGAGCTTCAGCAAACTACACCCATCCATTTGTTAAGAAAAGCAAATTACTGAACACCTACTCTACACAGCAACTGCTCTAGACCCCAGGGATATAACATCCCTGGACTCTTAGGGAACTCAGAGTGAGGCAAATGACAGAAGTAGAGAAGACCACAAAAGAGGGTGAAAGGAGAGAGGGAATACTGTAAATCTAGTGGTGGGGAGGCCTCTGGGGGCTGTTGGAATGATGGAGAGGTTTCTCAGATAGAGGACCTAGGAAAGAATAGACAGAGCAAGCTGAGCCCTTGGGAAGGGCCACAACTTTCTTTTCCAGCCTCAGGTGCCACCACCACCTCAAAAGCCCCTATGCTCAGCCCTGATCACAGTGCCTTCTGCCTACCCCCTGCCCCACTCCTTGGCGCCTAGGCTCTAGCTGCCCTCTACCATAGGACCACTGTGCTGGTTGACATGTATCACCAGGGGGCTCCATCTGCAGACACCCAGCTCAGAAATGTTCCCCACTGCCTATAGGACAGAGCACCAACTGTCAGTACAAGCCCTTGACCATCCCTCTGGCCTCATCTTCTAGCCCCAGACATTCTTAATTACACACAATGGTTTTAAAGAATCCTTTTCTGGGGCGCCTGGGTGGCTCAGTCCTTTAAGCATCTGCCTTTGGCTCAGGTCATGATCCCAGTGTCCTGGGATCAAGCCCCATGTCAGGCTCCCTTCTCCTGGAGAGCCTGCTTCTCCCTCTGCTCCCCATTCCTGCTGTCACTACCTCTGTCTCTTTCTCTCAAATAAACAAAAAACAAAAAAATTTTTTTTTTTAAAGCATCTTCTCTTCAAGAGGTGCAGCTTCATTTCCTGACTTTTGAGGCTGGACTCCCTTCTAACAAACGGAATAGGACAGAAAAGATGATGCATAATCTCTCAGACTCAGTCCCCAGAGGCACTGCAGTTTCTCTCCCACTCTCCTTTGGACTGCCTGCTTTAGGGAAAACCTGCTGCCATGTTATAAGGACACTCAGGAGTCTACACAGCAAGAAACCCAGGCCTCCTACCAATAGTCAGCAAGGAACTGGGGCCTCCTGCCAACAGCCCTGTGGCGAGCCACCTGGACGTGGCTCCTCCAGCTCATCGTGGCTCCTCCAGCTCATGGAGCTTGCAGATGAGGCAATTCTGGCTGACGTCTTGCCCACAACCTCCTGAGAGCGTCTGAGCCAGAAGCACTCACTTAAGCTGCTCCTGAATTCCTGACCCACAGAAACAAGGAAGTCATAAACATTTGTTGTGTGAAGCCTCTAAGTTTTGGGGTAATTTGTTACACAGCCATTAATAATGAACAAATCCCGAATGTGTCAACTGCTGTCTCTGATGCACATGCTAGTCCCTTTGCCTGTGCTACTTCTCACACTCTGACCTTTCCATCAAGCTTCTTACCTCCAGGGTCCAGCAGAAATGTCATCTCCTCAGTGAATCACTCCTTAACACGGTCTCCCTGGATCCCACCCCCACCTGCTGCCAAGCTGGCCCTGACCCTATGCCTTGCCAGCCCTGCAAATGGCTCTAGCACAGTTATTCCTACTCCACACTGTCCCTGATGGCTCAGAGGCCTGTCGGGGTGGGGGTGGGGAACCCCCACCCACCTCTGGGGGCAATAGAGAGCCAGGCACCCAGAAAACAAGTGAAGGCTCTCTCAACTGGCTTGAGAGCTCCCTCTCAGGCTTTTATTCCAGTGGGATAAGCACAGAAAAATAAGCATTTTGCAACAGGTATTTAAACCCAGGAGGGCCTCCATTCTTCCCTCCAAATGATGGGAAAGCACGAGGACCCATAGCTAAGGGGCCCCATCTCAGTGGGTCCCAACAAACTAGACAAAGGGAGCTCACCTACCTGAATCAGAGCAAGCACCTTGTCCTGCACAATGGTGGGAGGGTTGTTCTTGGGAGAGATGATTTTGACGAGGACGCTGTCAATGAAATCCCGGTTGGCCACGAGAATGTGGAAGCGGTGGCCACAGTTCTTCACACAAGTCTCCAGCACCTAAGGAGAGGGGAGAGGAAGGAGGGGTCACCACAATGGCAGCTGAGTTTCCACCCTGACCCCACCTCTTCCTTCTTCCACATGGTTCCACCATCTCTTTCAGAGTCACACTGGGATGGCATTGCATCCCTTCACTCTAATTCAGGCGTCCCTTGCTGACTAAAGTCGCCTGTGCCTGCACAATAATCAGGCAATTAGCTGGTAATTGAGGCACCAGTTTTGCATGAGAAGGATGCTGGTGTTTTAATGAGATCAAAATGACTGAGCGGTCCCTGAAAATTAGCATTTTAACTCCTCTCTCCTGGATTCTGCGTGTGAGACGTTAGCCAGTGGGACTCAGACTCTGACAGAGAGGGCTGCTGTGACAGCCTGAATTGCCCCGTGAATTATTGGCCTTTGTATATGAGTAAGCAAACACACGCACTCACCTTGACACATACACACACGCGAACACGTCCCACACAACCTTGCCTCTGCAGCTAATATTGGCAATGACTAAGGATTTTCTTCTCTTAATAAATGGTTTGTGGGCCTCAGCTGCTAGTCAGCTTCAAGGTCCGTGTTCACACACCCTGCTCGCTCCTCTCTTGTCTAGAAAAATGAATTAGGCAGGCCTTAGCCACTCAAAAGCACAGCACATGTGGGTTCTGGCCAGATGGCCAGTGTGGGCTTGAATCTCAGCTCTGCCACTTCCTCCCTAAATGGCCCAGGACCAGCTGTCTGAGCCTCAGCTTCCTCATCCGTGAAGTGGGCACATGAGTGCCCCCTTGTGGGACTCCAGTAAGGATAAGAAAGTATATTTGAAGCACCTAGCACACTGCCCTGCATGGCCTTGCGGGGCAGTAAATGAGGACTAGGATGATATGATTGCCATTTAGGAGGCTGCTGTACACACCCAAGGAAAGGGAAAGGGGAGAGGCCCCCTGGAATTCAGGGGTATCAACTGGAGGGTCTCTCCAGCCTTGAACACAGCTTTCTGAACTTCTCAGCACTCTGTAAACCAACCCATACAATCAGCTGGCCCTTCCCACACCAGCATACCCCAGTGCCACAGTCAACTAGTGGGGAATGTCTCCTTGGAATGTGACCAACAACAGGGGACATTTCTGACTGCCTGAGTATTTTCAGTGACCCAAACAACTGACCACTGGTTGTCTTATGCAGGGCTGGGTTCCTAAAAGGAGGCATTACCTTGCCAAAGCATGGCAATCGGGAAAGGACCACACTCTTAACGCTAATGCAAAGTGGACTACAAGCCAGCACCATGCAGGAGCCTCCACATTATGCCATTTCATTCCAGTCTCACAACAAATTAATTCTCTTTAAATAGATCGACCTTCTCTGGACCCCTTGTCTCCTCACCCACAATGAGGCCACAGGGCCACCCCATGCCCCCAGGTCTCCTCCAAGATCAGCTGGGAGTTCCCTCAGATGACAGGCAACATGTGCCAGATTTCTTGTTCCTTCATCTGCTCCTGGAAATAGCCCTGTAAGGTGGATATTATCCCATTTTAGAGTAACAAAGCTGAGGCCTGGAGATGTGAGTAACTTCACTGAGGAGGCCACAGCTGGCATGTGCGCCCTGCCTGGCAGCCAGAGAGCCACTCAATACGGTTCCTTTCCCCACCGCCAGCCTGTACTGTGGGAGGCTCCAGGTTCTACTTGGCTCGCCAAGGGAGACCTTGAAGCTCAGTGTCCTCAGGTCACCAAGGTTTTCCTCAGCCAAGAGGACATTCTCTTAGCCTCTGCACATGCCTGATTCCAGGTGACCACAAGGCAACCAGCATTCACTCTCACAGTGACCACAGGTGCTGCAGAGAGGATCCAGAGGGGTTCTTCTTGCTCTCTGGGAACTCACAGTTTCCCTTCTTTCTAGGATTCTCTAAAACCCTCTCCTAACTTTGCCTATGCAGGCATTGGGCTGCTAGGGTCAAGGCATGTGGCAGGAAGAATGGTTTATTTTGAGGAGCCAGTGGGAAAGGGAAAGGCAGGAGGAAAAAAGGCATGGTGAGAAAAAACATGGGAAAAAGAAGAGGAGGAAGGCCAACATGGCAGGGCAGCTGTAGTCTGCCATCATGCTCAGGGCAACAGTGGGCCAGGACACCCAACTCACTTTTGGGGAGCACATCCTGACATCTTCCAAGATGGCAGACTTTAAAGTCAGCAGGGCCCTCCCTGGCTGGCAACAGCTATTTAGCCACTTCAGGGACTCTGCCAAAAATGCCATTGGTAAATCGGCTCCTATAGGTTCTAGGGCATGAAACACACAGCTGCTTTTTTCCAGCAGTCAAAGCCCATGGGGTACAAAAGGTACCTCTAAGCAATCAGGTATGGCCATTTCAAGTCAATACACTGAGGCCCAAGCAGAGAGCCTCTCCAGAACTCCAACAAACTCCTGTTTGGGGTAATATTAATACCTTTGTGAAAGTCCCACAAGAAACAAGAGGAATGACAGCAACTAATAGAACAAGCGAAGACAAAGACAGAGAAGCCATAAAAGTAGACATAAGACCAGACAATGTGCACCAGGCTGGAGCCTTTGGTGTAGGGACAAGGGATCTGCAGCTGTCAGAAGTCTCCCAAAGGCATCCCTGGATTTGCAAAGACCTGACCACATCAACAAACAAGCAAACAAAAAACAGGAATAAATTTAACCAAAGAGGTGAAAGATCTGTACCCTGAAAATTATAAGACACTGATGAGAGAAATTAAAAGAGCCAGAAATAAATGGAAAGATATCTCATGTTCATGGATTGGAAGAATTAATATTATTAAAATGTCCATACTCCCCAAAGCCATCTACAGATTTCACAGAAATAGGAGAAATGATTCTAAAATTCATATGGAACCAGAAAAGATCCTGAATAGCCAAAGCAATCTTGAGATAGAAGAATAAAGGTGGAGACATCATACTTCCTGATTTCAAACCATATTACAAAGGTATAATAATAATAGTAAAAAAAAATCATAACAGTATGGTACTGGCAAAAAAAAAAACAATGGAACAGAATTGAGAGTCCAGAAATAAATGCATACGTACATATATGGTCCACTAATATTTGATAAAAGAGGTATGACAATTCAATGGGGAAAGGACAGTCTCTTTTACAAACAGTGTTGGGACAACTGGATAACCACACAGAGAAGAATAGAACTGCACTCCTATCTTACACCACTCACAAAAATTAACTCAAAATGGACTAAAGACTTAAATTTAAGACCCCAAACTGTAAAACTGCCAAAAGATGACAAAGGGAAAAAAGTTTCTTGACATTAGTCTTGACAAAGATTTTTTGGATGTGAAACCAAAAACAAAGGCAACAAAAATGAAAATAAACAAGTGGAACTATGTCAAACTAAAAAAGTTTTGCACAGCAAAAGAAACAATCAGCAAAATAAAACGGCACTCTACAGAATGAGAAAAATATTTGCAAACCATGTATCTAATAAGGGGTTAATGTCAAAAATATATAAGGACCTAAATAAATAGAAATTAAAAAAAAATATAAGGGATCCCTGGGTGGCGCAGCGGTTTAGCGCCTGCCTTTGGCCCAGGGCGCGATCCTGGAGACCCGGGATAGAATCCCACGTCGGGCTCCCGGTGCATGGAGCCTGCTTCTCCCTCTGCCTATGTCTCTGCCTCTCTCTCTCTCTCTGTGTGTGTGACTATCATAAATAAATAAAAATTTAAAAAATAATAATAAACTCCTACTTCTAAAAAAAAAAATATATATATATATATATATATATATATATATATATAGACCTTAAACGACTCAAGAGCAAAAAAACTATCCCCAAACAAACCAAAAACCTAAAACCAATCCAATTACAAGTAGGGAAAGGTGGGGCATCTGGCTGGCTCAGTCAGAGCATTTGACTCTTGATCGTGGGGTCATGAGTTCGAGCCCCAAGATGGGTGTAGAAATTACTAAAAATAAACTTTAAAAAATGGGCAAAGGACTTTAAACAAACATGTTTTCAAGGAAGATGCACAAATGGCCAACAGGCACATGAAAAGATGTTCAACATCACTAATCATCAGGGAAATGCAAATCAAAACCACAATAAGGGATCACTTCACACTTGTTAGAATGGCAATTATTAAAAAGACAAGAGACAAGTGTTGGCAAGGATGTGGAGAAAAGGGAATCCTTGTGCACTGCTGGTGGGAATGTAAATTGGTGCAGCCACTATGGAAGCTCCTAAAAAATTAAAAACGGGCTCCTAAAACAACACAAAACAAAACAAACAAAAACCATGATCCAGCAATCCCACTCTTGGGTATATATCTAAAATAAATGAAAACAGGGTATCAAAGAGGTATCTGTACCCCTATGTTCACTGTGGCTTTATTCACATAGCCAAGACATGGAAATAGAAGTACCCACTGATGGATAAATGTATAAATAAAATTTGATAGATGTCTGATATTTCTTTATCCATGTACACACACACACACACAAATATTCAGCCATAAAAAGGAAGGAAATCCTGCCTTTTGCGACAACATGGATGGACCTTGAGGTCATTACACTAATTGAAATGAGTCAAATACAGAAAAACAGATACCCAATATGTCACTTAAATATGGAATCTAAAAAAGCTGAACTCATAGCAACAGAGAGTAGAATGCTAACTGTAGGGGAGGGGAAATGGGGAAATGTTGGTCAGAAGGTATGAGTTCCCAGCTACAAGGTAAGTAAGCTCTGGGGAGCTAATGTACAGTATTGTGACTACAATTAACACTGTAGTATATACTTGACAGTTAAGATATTAGATCTTTTTTTTTTGATATTAGATCTTTTTTTAAAATATTAATTTTAGAGAGAAAGTGAGTGAATGTTTTGAGAAAGAGAGAGAGAGAGAAAGCCTAAGCATGTGCATGTGCACATGCGCACAAACCAAGGGAGGGGCAGAGGGAGAGAGAGAAAGAATCCTCAGGCAGATTCCCCTCTGCATGGGGAGCCTGACACAGGGCTTAATCCTAGGACCCTGAGATCCTGACCTGAGCAGAAATCAATAGCTAGACGCTCAACTGAGCCACCCAGGAGTCCCAAGAAATTAGATCTTAAATGCTCTCCCCTCCTTCCCCAACAAAGGTAATCATGTGAGGGGATAGAGGGATTTCCCGACCTTACGTGTCTTAAACTTACATATGTTATATGTATCTCCACAAAGTTGTTGGAATAATAGTAATAATAGCAATAAACCTAACCACCAGGAAAGGCTCAATGATGTTCACCATTTTCTTTCAGAAGGAAGTAAAAACAGAGACCACTTAAGAAAGATTTCCAGGGACGCCTGAGTGGCTCAGCGGTTTAGCGCCACCTTCAGCTCAGGTTGTGATCCTGGAGACCCGGGATCGCGTCCCACATGGGGCTCCCTGCGTGGAGCCTGCTTCTTCTCTGCCTGTGTCCCTGCCTCTGTGTCTCTCATGAATAAATAAATAAAATTAAAAAAAAAAAGAGAAAGATTTCAATTCTTGGGGGCCTGGGTAGCTTAGTCAGTTAAACGTCAGACTCTTGGGTTTAGCTCAGGTTGTGATCTCAGGGTCGTGAAATCGAGGCCCACATTGAGCTCCATACTCAGTGTAGAATCTGCTTGAGATTCTTTCCCCCTCCTCCCACTCCCATGTGCACTTGCTCTCAGTCTCTCTAAAATAAATAAATAAAATCTTAAAAAAGAAAAAAGAAAGATTCCATCCAACAACATGGTTCCCATGAAGTTGGGTGTATAAAGGGGTATGTTTTAGATAACAGGAAAATGCCCTGATATGTTAGTGTTCATTCCTTGGTGATTTCAGTTACTGAGAACAATTCCTTTTGGGCATCACTCTGGGTTTAGTAAATGCCATGGATCAAATTCTGAGAAAAAAACCTGAAAGCTTTCAAGTCACTATACCTCAGCTGGTCTTTTTTTTTTTTTTTAAATTTTTTATTTATTTATGTCAGTCACACACACACACACAGAGAGAGAGAGAGAGAGATAGAGAGAGAGAGAGAGAGAGAGAGGCAGAGACATAGGCAGAGGGAGAAGCAGGCTCCATGCACCAGGAGCCTGATGTGGGATTCGATCCCGGGTCTCCAGGATCGCGCCCTGGGCCAAAGGCAGGCACCAAACTGCTGCGCCACCCAGGGATCCTTTTTTTTTTTCTTTATTATTCAAACCCCAATTCCCTGGCAGAGAAGGATCTCAAAATAAGTCTTGGGTTTTTACTTGGGTGAAGAATCCAAACAGTTTCTCTGCTTTAAAAGGAAACATGTTATAGCTGTTTTGGATAAACAACAAACTACTGAAACCTGCAGAGAAGCCCACTGCTGACCTGTTGCAGCTTCCACCATAAGAACTCACCGTGGCCCCGATTTTGCCACATCTGAGTAACTGTTAGCTTTCCAGACAGAAATAACCCTTGGAGCAGTTGTCCCTTTGAGTTTCATGACATTTTCTTTTTTTAATGTTTTTTTAAATTTTTATTTATTTATGATAGTCACACACAGAGAGAGAGAGAGAGAGAGAGAGAGAGAATGAGAGAGAGGCAGAGACACAGGCAGAGGGAGAAGCAGGCCCCATGCACTGGGAGCCCAACGTGGGATTCGATCCCGGGTCTCCAGGATCGTGCCCTGGGCTAAAGGCAGGTGCTAAACCACTGCGCCACCAAGTTTCGTGACATTTTAAGAAAGGGCAAAAATCTGGTCTGTTTCTTCCTGAAAGGAGTCACTAGGCTGGCTTTTTCCAGAACCCCTACACCAATGACTGCTTTGACTCCATAATCCACAGCTGGACACTCTGAGAACCCCCAGGCCTCTCTCCGCATTGATGGGATGATGAAATCAGTCTGGGAAGGTTACTGTAAGCAATCACTTTAACACCAGAAAAGCCCAGCACAGTCCCAGGCAGGTTCGGGGTGGATGGTAGCAGGTTTGTAAGGAGAGACTGGACACCTAGGAAGGCAGCTAGTATGGCTGTGTCACAGAAGGACATCCACAGGCAGGCCTTTGACTTCTCTGCTCTGGGCTTCTGTATTAGTCAGTGCTGCCCATGCCTGATCTTCTGCTGGTATGTACCAGCTTGCAGCCCATCCCCTCACTTCAGGGAAAAGCAGGAAAACCCAAAGGCACTGTGGGAAGGCTCTGCTACACTCTGCTGGTGCTCACACCAAACCGTCCACAGGCCGTGGCTGCTGGAGGCTGTGCCGAGTGGACAGAGGGAAGGCCCTGCCTCTGGGAGTAGGGCAAGGCTGTGAATGTGGATTTCCTCAGCTGCTCTGCCCCCACCCTAACCCCGAGGGCAGCACTCACTGTTAATGCCAGCATGACCTCTCTGTAGTTCCGGTTCCCATTAAGCCGCTTCTTCAGGGCCCGAATGGCATCCTTTGGCCTAGAGAGAAGGACATATTAAAATCCTCACAAGTTCCACTCGGGGCGCTTGCCTTACACATTACTCCTATTTGTGTGAACCAGCACATCCACAAGGCCATCTGTTATACACAAGATTCTAGGTGGCCATGTTTAGAAGCATAAAAGGCTGCAGACAAAAAAAATCTTCATCATTGTGAAGCAGGTTAACCTTTAAAAAATTTTTTTTAAGTTTTGTTTTTATTTCTAGTAATCTCTATACCCAACATGGAGCTCGAACTCATGACTCTTAGAGCAAGAGTCACAGGCTCTTCCGACTGAGCTAGCCAGGTGCTCTAAAACAAGTTAATTTAAATCACGCTTATCCATGCAATTGAACACTACATAGCTGTGAGAAAGGATAAAGACACTCCTTACACACCAATATGGAGCAAACTCAAAGAAATGTGAATAGAGTTGTGTGCAGAGCAGTGCATAAAGTATGCTACTCTTTGGCTTATAGAAGGACAACATACATACACACATAGTACACATGTTAGCAGAGGGAAGAGCATCTCTGGAAGGAGCCCCAAGAAGCTGGTAACTTTGGCTGCTCCTTAGGAGAGGAATTGGGTGGCAGAGAGGAGCAAGTGAGGTTTTTCACTGGGCTGCTTTTGGCAGGCCTTTTGCATTTGCATCACATGCAAATATCTTTTATTCAGAATGATAACTAAGCCACTGGTGTGGGGGTACACTGAAGAAACAACAGACAGACATAGAAGACAGAATGACCAGCTCCTTGCTGAGGCCTGGATGTTCAGCTCCTCCTCAGTTCCATGGAACCCCTTTTTGCCCTGAGAGAACTTAATTAAGTCTCCCCAAAACCCAAAGAATTGTGTTTTTAGGTAGTGGAGCTAATGTGGATTCCCAGAGGCATGTTCATAAGCTGACTGTTTGGAACCTGGAACTCGTTCTTCCTTAAATCCCAGTTAGGGTGGGGAGTCAGGGTCCTCAACCAGCCCTCTAGAAGCATCTAGTAGGTGCAACCCTTGGGTCTAACAAATCATTTAGTTTATTCTAAGCCAGGATCCAACAAAGCTGTGGGACTCATGGCTACCTCTGGCAGGAAACCCCTGCTCCCTGATGCCCCCAGTCCAGCTGCAGGCTGGCCCTCTGCTATCACCAGTGGGCTCCAGCCTTCCCCTGATCAACATATCAGTCTATCTGGGTCTTTCAAAGGCTGACGATTTGTAAGTCAGGGACCTCCTATTCCTCCAGCTCTGAAACATTTATGATCTCTTTACCAAAGGGAAAAGTCCTTTCAAGTACGTGTGAAGAATCTGGGGGGAGGGAGGGTGAATGCTCTGCTAATCAGTCTAACCTAGACAGAAATACATAGAAGCAAGCTAAGGCTTCCAGAAGACATTTAAATCACCCTGAGTCACCTAGTTCCCATCCCCAACATGAAACGTGGCTGCTTGCATGAATTCTTGGTTTCTGAGCCCAAAGGCTGATGGGACGAGGCTCTCTGGGGAAGGGGTCCCTGCCAAGCATGTTAGCAGTATGGCTGCAGTTTCCAAACAGGGATGCTGATTTCTGCAAGTATGGGACTTGACAAGCTCCTGGCTTTGAGGACTGTGGACTTGAGCTGGTGAAGGTCAGTGGCTGCTGGCCAAGAGCCTGGATTGACTTCCTCTCTCTCAAAGGCTCTGCCCAGCCACGGTCAGCCCCGACCCACGGCTGCCATCCCTCTCAATCCAGTTTCGTCCCTCTCCTCTTGAACTTCCAGGGAGCAGAAAAATGGGAACAGCCTCCGAGGGCTGCAATCACTTAGAGCTCACAGAGCAGAGAGTGCACAGAGCTCTCCCAGTGTGGGGGTGATGGTGGTGGTGGAAAATCAGAGAGTCAGCAGGCTCCTGGGTTAGAGTTAAAATGGAAATTCATCGGCGGGAAGTACTGCCTCAGAGTGACTGGGTGAGCACAAAAGCAAGTATTTATCTCTCTCCCCGGGGAGAAGCTTCAGAAAGGAAGATCAAAGTCATGTCAGAGGAATTGCAAAGTTTCCAGCAGCAGCAGCAGATTAGACAGCAAGGAGCTGGAAACGGGGGAAAAGGGGAGAAGCAAGAGTCAGGAGCCAAGATGGAGCAGGGAGAAGGAGCAGGAGGGGAAGGGGCCCTGTGAGATGCCCCACTGCCTGGCAGCTTTCAGCAGAAAGCTCAGCACCCCAGGCCTCAGGATCTGGCCTCTGGGCCATCCCCAGCCTCCCCAAGGTCTCCCTCACCCCAGACTCCTGAGAACCTTGCTTTCTAGTCATACTTGAACTCATCTTGTCCTGTGCCCCAGAACTGCTGCTTCTGAGCCGCTTTCTCCTCATTCCCTCCGAGAAGGATATGGCTGCCCCTCCTCCACCACCCCGGGACTCTTCCTCTTCCTCCCCTTTTCTCTGCTGCTACCTTGGTCTGTTGCAGTTATGGGGTGCTCACTCCTCCACACACCCCCTCCTCCAGCTTAGAGACGGGGCACAAACATTCCTGGAGCAAGGGAAGGTCCACAGGTGGTCATGAAAATGAGCCAGGTCAGCTGATCCTTCTGGAGATACACATCAGAATCACCTGGGGAGCACGTGCCAAATCCACACACCTGGACCTTAACTAGGAAGGTGCGGGCAAGGCGTGGCAAATCGGTTCTAAAACATTGCCGGGGGCAGCCCGGGTGGCTCAGCGGTTTAAGCGCTGCCTTCAGCCGGGGTGTGATCCTGGAGACCTGGGATTGAGTCCCAGGTCAGGCTTCCTGCATGGAGCCTGCTTCTCCCTCTGCCTGTGTCTCTGCCTCTGTCTCCTTCTGTGTCTCTCATGAATAAATAAATAAAATCTTAAAAAAAAAAAAACAATAATCACTGGTTATTAATGACCAACAATTCAAGGTATGAGGGATGGCCACGCAAGGCCTTAGGATGGAGGGCATCTCAGCCTTGGACATCTCAGGGAAAGCCCAAGGAGGGACCTATGGGGCAGTTCACCCAATCTGCACCCACCAGGACCACAACCTCCCAGAGGTGAAGCTCTGAATGACTAAGTGTAAGCAGAGCTTTGATGGCTGCAGCTAGGTCAACCTGTGCTTGCATCCTGCCTCTGCCCTTCCTAGACACACTGTGAGACCTCTGGCAAGTGACCAAACCTCTCTGGACCTGTTTCCTCAACATGGGCTGCCCCTACCTTCTAGGGCTGTTGCAGGGCACTGCACAAGCTGGTACAAGCCAGGGCTCCCGTGGCGGCCCAGTACACAAACGGCAAGCACTCAGAGAATGGCAGACAGGGTCAGGGCCATCAGCCTACAGAGGTCATCACCAAGGACTGGCCAGATAACACTACCGATGAAAGTGGTGAAGGAAGTCACGTGCAGTTTAAGTCCTTACCACGCAAGTCTTTTTTTTTTTTTTTTTAAGATTTTATTTATTCATGAGAGACACACACAGAGAGAGGCAGAGACACAGGCACAGGAGAAGCAGACTCCATGCAGGGAGCCCAACGTGGGGACTCAATCCTGGGTCTCCAGGATCAAACTGCTGAGCCACCTGGGATGCCCAACCATGCAAGTCCTTAATGGATAAAGAGCAAATCCCTACGTAGAACACAGACATGGATACATACATAGGCAGACACTTCATAACTATTAACTACTTTAATCCTTACAACCAGCCTATGTGATAGGCAATATTGGTACCCACACTTTGTAAATGAGGACACCGAGGTACAGGGACACATGGCAAGGGAGCAGAGGGCCTAGAATTCTGGCTCCAGGCTCCATGCCCCTAATTCTACTATACTCCTGTTCCTATGTACATGTTGCACACCCTGCCCACCACTCCAGATGTCCACCTTCCCCCTCTGACATCCACCCACCTCACCTGGCTGATGCCCCCATATGCTGCAAGACTCCACCTGGGTGTCACCTCTTCCCAGAAGTCTTTGCTGCTGACAGTCCCAGAGCCAGCCAGCTGCTGTTGCTCTGGGCCCTCTGAGAGGCAGCTTCTTTTGGCACGCTGTGTTATGATTATGTTCTGCATTCCCCATCAGACAGAGTCCGTTAAGGACTTCCTTCTCTATTCTTATTTACCAAACGCTTGTCAAGAGTCAATTATGTGTACACTGTGCTTGGTGTTGGTATAAAATGGTGCGTGAGACAGAGTTCTGCCCTCACGGAGTGCACAGTTGAGGGGACGCTGTCGAGGGAGATGGCCACTCTCACAAACATCACACCGACATGTACATTTACACGGTGACAGTTGTGGTATAATAGAGGATACTGTGAAATCACATCGGGGGGATCTGTCCCAATCAGGAAGAGAGGGGTGTCAGGGAAATGAGATTCAAAGTGAACTCCAGTGAGTGACAGAACTAATCAGTGAAAGGGAGAGCTGAGAGGGAAAGAGAAGGATCCAGGATGAAAGCCCTAAAGCAGGAATGAGTTGAAGGGGTGCTGGACCATTAGCTGAACTTGGGAGTTTCTCTCCTGCTTAAGAAGAGATTTGACAATCACCTCACTGTAGAAGCCAAGACAGAAAATCGCCAGGCGTCCTTGAAGGGGTCTCATTCAAAACCCAAGGACCCAGAGCTTGGGCCACTTTAGGAAGAAGGTGAGTAAGTGCTGGGAAAGGAAGGTGACCCACCTCCTAGACCCTGGGAGGTGGAAGCTCCACTTTAACACATATTCGTACATCCCCACATCCGTGGAGAATTGCAAATGGGGTATAGGAAGCATGGAAAGTCCAAGGAACTGAAAGATCAATGGGGCTGGAGGATGACGACAAGGGGAGAGGGCCCCAAGGGGAGCAGCAGAGGGACCAGGTTACCACACAGGATCCACTGAGGGTTTGGACCCTGAAAGAAGGCTCCTTAGCAAGGAGCAACTTGATGAGTTTCTAAGAGGCGGTCAGTGGACAAAAGGAAAAGGGGAAATGGTAGAGAGACCATTTGGAGGATACAGCCTGACTCTAGGGATGCCAGAGGAATAAGGCTCTTTACCCCTGACCTGAACCACCATTCCAAATACACCCTCCCCAAGTAGCACTTCCTCCTCACTCTCCCTGTTCCCCAGATGGCTTGTGTCCCCAACACACTGCCCTTTCACCCTCTCATCTATACATCACCTTCTCTTCCTGCCCTACTGAGGCCCAGCCCAAAGCCTGCCCCCTGTGTCTGCTGCAATGGGCACACACCTTGGTCACGGCCTGTCCAGTACCACCAGCTGAGCCCCTCAAGAGCAGCCAGGGAGCACCTTGGCATTTTAGAACCAGCTGCATCTCCATCTGTGGGGTCAATTAATGTGGCTGGACAACTGGAGAAAGGAGGGCATGAGAGGGGGACATGAGAAAGAAAGGACCCCAGTGACTCTAACATCGGAAATGCACAGCCCCGAACAACTCTTGACCCAGCTGTGTGCAAGGCACCAAGGTGACCACCTACACTGAGAGGCAATATGCCATCTTTGAGGGAAGATGCCTAAACTTAAACCTCCAGGGCAGGCCCCTGCCCCCAGCTCCATATCCCTCTGCTCCTGGACAGGCAGCATCCCACCTGGGGCCTAGCAGGCAGCTCAGAGCTGACCTTCTGATCTCTGCCCCTCAGCCCGCTCCCTCCCTGCGATAGCTCAGCCCTAAACACTGCAGTCCTCCTGACTCTTCTCTGCTCTCACACCCATGTCCACCTCTGCAAACCCCATTGGCACAACCTTCTAAACTATTCTGAAGCTGATCATTCCTCTCTCCCTCCTCTACTGTCATCCAAGTCGAAACTGCCATCATCCCACATCTCCTAACTGGCTTCCCTCTTTCTACCCTCTGCCCTTCCCATCCCAGGCCAGGCCATTCCAAACACGGAAGCCAGGTGATTTCTTTATTTTTATTTTTATTTTTTTCAGGTGATCTCTTTAAAATGAACGTTAGACTTCGGGCGCCTGGGTTACTCAGTGGGCTGGGTGTCTACCTTCAGCTTGGGTCGTGATCCCAGGGTCCTAGGAGCGAGCCCTGTATGAGGCTCTCTGTTTAGTGGGGCAGCCTGCTTTTCTCCCTCTGCCCCGCCCCCTGGCTCATGCTCTCTCTCTCAAATAAATAAATAAAATCTTTAAATAAATAAAATGAGCATTAGATCATGCCCCTCTCTGCTGAAATCTCCTCCCAAGTCAAGGCCAGAGCCCTCCAAAAATAAATAAAATGAGCATTAGATCATGCCCCTCTCTGCTGAAATCTCCTCCCCTCCAAGTCAAGGCCAGAGCCCTCCATTGTTTTTGGATGGGGACATGTCTGACCCCTCCTCACTCTCTCCACTCTGGCCCCTCGAGCCTCTTGCTAGTCCTCAAACATACCACCCGCCATCTGTCCCAGGACTGCTGTGCTTGCTGCTCCCTCTGCCTGGAAGGTTCTTCCCTGGTGTCATCCTCACACCTCACCCCCTCATCTCCTTCAAATCATTCTTCAATGTCACCTTCTTAAGTGAGGCTTTTCTTGACTCCTCCACTTAAAATTGCTGACTCCCAGGGGGCATCTGGGTGACTCAGTCGGATAAGTGGCTGACTCTGGATTTCAGCACAGGTCATGATCTCAGGATGTGAGATCGAGTCCCGTGTCGGGCTCTATGCTCAGTGCAGGGTCTGCTCGGGATTCTCTCCTTCTGCCTTGAGCGTATGCATGCGCTCTCTAAATAAATAAATAAAATCTTTAAAAAATCTTGCTAACTTTCAGCCTTCACCCTCCCTAGCTTCACTTTGCTCCAGACTTGTCACCAGCTGACCATGTAACGTGACCACATAATGTAACACATAATAGCTTCAAGGGCATCTGTCCTGCTCCCTGCCATGCCCTGGGCTCGCACACTAGGGCCCAGCATGAGGTAGTCACTCAGTAAATATCTGTTCACTGAAGGCAGGACCAGCTCCAGATTGTACACAGCAAAGCTGCAAGTGCCAGCACCCAGATGCAAGCCCAGGGTTGCCAGAGTCTGGCCTGTCCTCCTTGGCACTCTGGGGATGGCTGGAGAGGGCTTGGCTACAGTAAATACTGTCCTGTGTGGTGTGGGCAGAGGGCTGAATACAGACAAATCTGGAAAAAATGTAAACAGGACATAGCCGTAATGCACAAGAACCCACCCGGCAGTGCAGGGATGTGAAAGGGATGGCCCCTGCCAGAGACACTTGCTGCTCTGTGCCTCACGTGGACCTTCTCCCTCTATGGACACCGTGGGGCCTCTCCCTCCTGCAGCTCCAGTCCAGCAAAGCAGAACAGAGATAGCCTCATGTTGGTGAAGGGGAGGCAGAGTCAGGGAGGAGGGCAGGAGGAGGTGATGAGCACTGGGGGACCAAGTAACCAGGAGACTTCATTTTCACTGTGATTCAAAGCAGGTCATTACAAGAGGGCGTCACTGCTGTAAGCCAAGCACTGCTGTTGCAGTAGGACTGGGAGTGGGAGTGGGCAGCATGAGAAAAGATAATGAAGAATGTCCATTTATTAAATGCCAAAACAAACAGCCTGGAAACAAAACATGAAGTAAAACACCACCACCCTAAAGACCTGACAGGCTGTGAGTGACCCCCAGGAGCCAACCAGCTTTACGGGAGATGGCAGGGGTGGGGGTGAGGGGCACACATACCCTTCCTCTGTCTCGTTGATAATGTCACAAATCTCCATGTTCAGCGTCCAGTCCTCGCTTTGCAGGGAGCCATCTGTTGCCTTTTCTGTAAAGTCAGAGAGAAGATGGATTTACATTTCTCCCAGAATAAGGGGGCCCTGGCAGGAAACAGGAAGGGACCAGAACCACCATATTCTCCCCACCAAGCGGATGGGCTAAGCCAACAGAGCAGTTCTAGGGGTGCTGCATTCACAAGGGAACATCCAGAGAGAGAGAGAGAAAGATCTGGCCCTGAGTTTTGCAAGATGAAAAGTTCTGGAGGTTGGCTGCATGACTGTGCAAATGTCCCTAACACTTAAAAAATGGCTAAGATGGCAATTTTTCTGTTATGTGTATTTTCACACAATTAAAATTTTCAAAAATTAAATTTAAAAAATCCTACAACTCCCTTAAGGTAGGCATTATTCCCCTCCACATTTAAAAGGAAGGAAACAGGCTCAGAAAGGTTGGTTATTTGGCCAGGATCTCATCATCTGATTGAAGCTTACTGGCATTCAGTCTCAGGTTGGTCTGTCTCTAAAGCCTAGACAGCTGCATGACACTGCCCCGCCTGCCGGCAAAGCTGGACTTCGGATCTGAAGTTATAGCTCAGACAAATTCTAACCCTGCCCTGTCCTAACTGTACACTTTATGAGAGGGTTAACATCACCACCATTTTGTTCCTATAACCCACACTTCCACTGCTACTCAAATAATAAAACAGATGACCTCCGCATATGCTGGAAGCGTCCTTGTTTTTTTTTACTTAACATACTAGAACTCACACATCCAAATGAAGGCTGCACTTGCAAGCAGTGACAACATGCTCCAAAAATATAGCTCTTGCTCAAAACATTTGTGCAACAGCTTCGGTCTGCATTTAAAAGCCTCATTTTTTAAATTTTTGCCAAAAAAGACACATCCCCAACTTTTCCACCCAGTTTATTAATCAACCATAGTCCCCAGAGACTCCTGACCCCGCTGGAACAAGGAAACCCACCCACAAATGAGGAGGATCTGCCAAGGGCGAATGCTGGGCATGCAGCAGACTGGGCAGGGCACTGGGAGATTGGAGGAACCCTTCACCAAAGTCCACAGTGGTGCCACGCTGGCAGGGCCAGAGGCGGTATTTGGGGGTGTGCCTACAACAAGAGGAGAGCACATGCAGAGAGGGAGAAGAAGCCATGTCAGAGACTGTTCAAGGCAGATGGGACCCAGAGATGTTGCTCCCCTGCATGCATGTAGAAAACTGGGGCCACATCAGGAGAGCCACTTTGGGGTTGGGGGGGGTAGGGACAAGAGCCATGGCGGGAAGGGGAGTGGTAGGGATAGGCCTTCAGGAAGAATGGCTCGAAGCCCCAGTGGGCTTGGCCAGGAGAAGCAAAGGCTAAAGGCAGAGTCTACAGGAAGCCTGGGGGGACAGGCACGAGGCAGCACCTGGGACAGACACAGCAGAATGCTCTCTTGGCACTGGGCTTCAGCCAGAGGCGGTGGGCTACAGCCAATTTCCAGAGTGGGTAAGCGTGTGGGTGACAAGACTCACGCCTCCAGCCCCGCTCTCCCTGCCACACTTAGCTGTCCCTGCACAGCCCTCCCCTTCATGGTGTCCAGCCCCAGAAGAGGTGATGGCCAACGAGGTTGCTGCACAGCAGGGGAGTGTCCGTGGCCACAAACACAGAGCACATCCTCATGATGAAGCCACTCTGCCTGCAGGTGTGGGCTTTCCACCCTTCTGAGCCAGCCAAGGGGACAGGCCATCTGGCCAAAGGGCCGTTCTGAGCTGGTTATCTGTCCCTGTCACAGCACCGGCTGCAACACGGCCTCACAAGGAAGAAAGTCTGTGACTGCACTTTGGTAGGGCCATAGGGACACTGTCTTGGGAGGCTTAATGGAGGAAATATTAAATCAATGAAACCTCATTTCCAAGTTCGGTTTAGCAGCAGAATCCATTAACCTTATATTCACCCGCTCCCTTCCTCCAATAATACCGGGAAGGGGTTCAAAGGCATGATAACTTATCCTCCGGGTAGCGCGTTCTATTCAATTACTGGGATTCTGAGTTTCCGAGCTAAAAGATATATACTCGTTTTGATTATAAAGAATCAACCCAAAAAAGAATGCTGCTTTCTTTTCATTTTGCTGGAAATGCCACATAAATACAACCGTGGGTATTTGGCTCCGCTGAAACAGATGAGGGAGGTAAGGCTGACAAAGGAGCTCAAATCAGTTCTGATTTTTCTCCCCTCATGAAAGAATTCCCAGCAATGGGAACAAAGTTGTATTTGATTGCCCCTGGAACTGCAGCCACTCAATGCGGGCTTCCTCAGTCCATCCGGTCCCCAGGCCAGAGGAAGCAAAATTCAATCTCATTTCTTTTGTCACGTAAATCGTCAAAACCTAAGATAAATCCTGGTGCAAGAGCAGAAACACAATGCTCCAGGGAGCAATGGGGCAAGTCATTCCCACCAGCCAGCCCTTGGGACAGATAAAGATCAAAACGCCAGTGACCCTGGCTGCAAAAGCTGACCTTTCAGAGTTCTCTGGTGAAATGCTAATGGCCAGGGGCTGCAGGATGGGACAGGACAGGGCAGGGCAGGGAGGGCAAGGCTGGGCTGAACGGAGCAGGGCACGGCAGGGCTGGGCAGGGCTAGACTGGGCAGGGCTGGGCAAGGCAGCGCTGGGCTGGGCAGGGCAGGGCTAGGCCGGGCAGGTCTGGGCAGAGTAGGGCAAGGCAGGGCTAGGCAGGGCTAGACTGGACTGGACTGGGCAGGGCTGGGCAAGGCAGGGCTGGGCAGGGCTAGACTGGGCAGGGCTGGGCAAGGCAGGGTTGGGCAGGGCAGGGCAGGCTGAGCAGGGCTGGGCAGGGCTGGGCAAGGTTAGGCAGGGCTAGACTAGGCAGCGCAAGGCAGGGTTGGGTAGGGCTGGGCAAGGCTAGACTAGGCAGGTCTGGGCAGGGCAGGCTGAGCAGAGCAAGGCAAGGCAGGGCAGGGCTGGGCAGGGCTGGACAGGGCTGCACAGACAAGGCTCCCATTAAACCTTCAGTACAAGACAGTTAATGTTATCCTAATGCTGTTGCCATGGCATTCTCCCCATTCAGAAAAGGCTGCCTCCAGCGTGGAGAAGGCTGGGGATGCCCTCAAGCCTGGACCCTGCCGGCAGTAATAGCACTCTCTCAGGCCTGGTTTCTCTGTGCCCCACCCCCACCCCTACAGCCTGAAATCCCAGGCAGTCCTGCTGGGAGGAGCCTCACAATCCAGTGGCATGGTTTCTTGGCTGCTGCTGTCTACACTTTGATGTTAAATATAGTGACTTCAGAGCAGCCAGCACCAGAAGGCAAGAGAGGGCTGGCTTCAGCATTTTGTATTCAGCAACATCCTTTCGGTGAGAATGGAGGAAAAAAATGGCCAAATTATCTACCTCCCCAACAATCAAGGGTGTGGGTAGGAGCCCAGAGGCACTGACACAAAGGAAGAACATTCAGGGCGGCTCTATGCCAGGTGTAGGGGGAAGAAGCAAAGGGGCTTTAGGTGGACAGGAAGCTCATCTGATAATATGCACCAATAATGGGAGATGAGCCTTCTGGATTACTATACGCTAGTGAGGCAGGTTGGCATATACCAGTCAGGTGGAAAGAAAAATCAATCCTGACATTCTACACAGAGCCATTATTGTCTATTGCTTCAAATTCCTAACATGCTTTGTGAATGTTAATTGCAGCTGCTCCTCTTCCACTGGAGAGACAAGAGAATGAATTCCAAATACTCATTCCTATTTTTATAGGATGTCCTTTTCTCCAACTGCTGTCCCTACTCTTCTGTCACCCCTCTTCAAAGGAAGATAACAGGACAAGAAGGTATACAAAGTCTGCTTAGCCTGTAGACTTTGTGAGGCAGCTTTCCCTGTAACTTAAGGCAAAACAAAACAAAAACAAAAACACCTCATAGTCCCCATACCCTTTACTCAAGATTGGCAGAGCCTGAGATGTGCCATGCACTGCCCATGCAGGTGGAGAGAGGGAGATGATTAAGACTCTACCTTAAGAGATCAGCATAACGGGAGAGGCAGATAGGCAGTTGGTTAAGAGACAGTCCAGCCTGAGCAGTAACAGAGGAGAGCCACAGCTCTTTGGGGGGCTTGGATACCTGTGCCCTAGATACCGGTACACAGGAGCTCAGAGGAAATTAATGGCACCCCACATGCTTCTCTAAGCAGAACACAAAGGTGGGCAAGATATGCCAGGAAGAACCAGCCAGTGACTGTGTGAAGTCCCAGAGAAAGCTCCTAAGCCTCTGTCTCACTCCCCAACTAGAGAAGCACCAAGGGAAGGCATGACATAGAGCAGTGCTTCCCAAATTGGCTGCAGGTTAGAATCACCAGGAAGCCTTTTTTTTTTTTTTAACATTTGTTTATTTAGAGGGGTGTACAGAGGGAGCAAGAGAGAGAAACCCAAGCAGACTCCACACTGAGCACAGAGCCCAACATGGGCTCAATGTCATCACCCTGAGATCATGACCTGAGCCAAAAAGAGTCAGACGCTTAACCAATTGCACCATCGAGCAGCCCTTCACCAGGAAGCTTTTTACAAGTATTCCTGCCTTTGAGCACCTGGGTGGCACAGTCAGTTAGGTATCATGATCCCAGAGTCCTGGGATTGAGGCCCATGTCAGGCTCCCTGCTTCTCCCTCTCCCTCTGCTGTTCACCCTGCTTGTGCACTCTTGCTGTTAAATAAATAAAATCTTAAAAAAAAAAAAAAAAAAGAAGCATTCCTGCCTTGGTCCCATCCCATACCTTCTGACCAGAACCTCTAGGGCACAGGGCCAGTTGCTGACGTGTTCTAATAGCTCCCCAGTGGCTCAACATACACCTAGGGTTGAGAACACAGAGGAAAGGAGCAACACAAGTGGACCGCATGGCTATGAAGTGCCGGACCCTGGGGACAAGTAGAAGGCAAGACAGTCCAGTTTCCGCCCTCATGAAGTTCCTGGCCCACAGGAAGACAGCAAATCAAGTGACCCTGGTTCCAGTCCTGGCTCGGCCTCTGTGATGCTGATTTATGCCTGTTTCTT